CCTCATTCCCTGCCTATCGAACCAGAAAAACTATTACTTTTTTCCTGTTAACAGTTGTGTGTTGCTTTGCATCCCAAATTGAAAACGCCCATATGAATCAGGTTCCCTACCTTTTTGAAACACAAGCCCCAGCCCACCAAGCGCGGCGGTTCAAAGGGGCCCAAATTTGGGATGTCCGAGAGCACTTATTTTTTTTGGCGGTTGCTCATACTTCTTTCCATGCCTTCGGGTAGACCATCTAAATACCCGGTTTTGAACTTATGACTGTTGGAAACAGCCACCATTTTGTTGAAGGGGCCCCCCCATTTTGAGCGACCCTTCAAATGGGTGTATCTCTTTTAGGGGACTAAAATTGGTGGTTGTCCTTTTGGTCTCCAATGTAGAACCCCAGTCAATTAATAAGGGGCTATTTCTCTAGATCTTTACATACATACTGTGGATGGTTGTGAAGTGGATGGTTGCGAAATCCATTTCGCACCATGAAATGAAACCATGGTTGAAACCATAACGTTAGTTGGTATTTTGCTGGGGAACCTTTTCAGAGTTATTTTGGTACAAAGATAGATGGCAAGAAGCCGAAGGACGCTTAGAAGGGGCTTCCGTGTTATGGCCAATGATTAAACGCAGCTCGAAGATCAGAGGAAGCTTTGGTGGCATTTTGCTTGGATGTTAGGACTTTAACTTTTTGCCAACTCATGGGTTTTCGATTAATCCCAAAAAAACACTTTTAGCAGGGGAGCAGACAGCAACCGAGGAAGGCAGAAGGCCGATGCACCTGGCGGTGAAGATCATCAGCAAGCAACGATCAACAAAAACCATACCGTCTACAGCAAGTGCTCGGCTAGCAGGCCCAGTTTGAGCCATGGTGCTTCGAGAGAGACAGGGAGAGAGAAAGAGCCGGAAAAAAGGACCAGGCAACGGAAAGAGAAAGAGACAGAGGAAGAAGAAGTGAAAGAACAAGATGAAGTGAAAGAAGCGCAGAAAGTGAAAGAGAGAGAGAGAGAGAGAGATAATATGACAAAGAGAAGGATCAAAAAAAGCGAACTATAACTCCTGTAGCTCTGCAACTGGCGCCCTCGGCTTCAATGATACACTGGAAAGTCTGTGGTTAGGGGACAAACCGAAGCTGAACTCCCTCTGTCAAAAGCTCAGGGAACCCTCAGTTGGTGGTTTGGGCGGTTTGCGGATTCGACGCGGTTCTTGCGGACAAATGAGAGTCCTCCAGTTCACACCAAACCACCAAACCACCAAACCACCAAGTACAGGGAGCCTGGAAATGCGGTAATAGATCCAGGGACCACCACCACCACCACCACCACCACCACCACCAAACCCACCACCAAACCCGCCGAGGTGAAGCAACGGGCCTGGGCCTACGTGCTTTGGTGGCGCCTCAGCGGTGCTCCGGAGCCCTTGCCCGAGCCGGGGGCCCCTGCTTGGTTGGTTGGTGAAGGCAAAATTCTGGGGGTTGATTCCCCATTCTTTCCCAGGGATCCGAATCTTTCTAGAAAACCGCCAGAGACGCTTGGGGAAATGGAGGGGAAATGAACAGAGCGATGGGTGTAAAGAATCGGCCATCGACCCTAGAAAAACGGCGTGTTGTGTTTGCCCCCTTAAACCCCCTCCCCCCAACAATACAAAGACACAAAACAGGTGTCCTCAAAGAAAAACACACCCATATGGGTGTGGCCTTCGTTTTTACCGGGTACCCTTTTGGTAGATCTTTTAGGGAGTTGAGACCGAAGCCACCCATGAAGGGGGGGCCTATAAGCAAAACTGTTGCCCTTAGAGGGGGGGTTTAGAAATCATCTGTTGGTTGCCAAACTTATAGGAAGTATTCCTATCCTTCTTTGAGGGTTTTAGACATGAGGTTTATTGTCGCTCTGGCCGAGCCCTCCATTTCCCATGTCCTGGGAAACAAGTAGCTTCGACCGCTCACGTTTGACCCCTCACGTCCAACCAGTTCCTTTTGGATTTCGTCACTTGACCTAGGACCATGTCAGTTGCATCTCGGTGTTTATCTCCTTTTGCCAGGCGCCCCCCCAGTAGTGCCCTTTTGCGCCCTTTTTTTGGGGGAGGGTTCCCCTACAAAATCGGGCACCCTTTCTCGGTCCGGTAGACCGAGCTTGGCAAGGGCAACTCCTTTCGCCAGCAAGAAGCGGATCGAAGCTTCGCCAGGAGCGCCGGGTTATTGCCTTTCCTGAGCTTCAGACTTCGGAACTTGCCAGTGGATCCATGCACATCGGGCTGACCGGGCTGTTTTTGCTTTCCAATGATCTCACCCGGAAAACCGATGCCTATGTTCTGGGCCATTTTGTAGCTTGGCTTCCTACCTCTCGTTTCAGGCATTTACCGCAAATATGAACCAGTCTTGGGCGTTGCGCACCTGAATTGTGATTTTGTTCGAGGCCCGGTTGGCCTGGCTGAGGCGAACCCAAAGCAAAGTCACCAAAGTTTTCATTTGGATAAACCACTGCGTGGTTGTGATGTTTGAATGCTCCTCGGAATTCCCCCCCTCCAAAAAAAGAAGTTATATCGATTTTGACAAGTTAAAAGGTAAGTAATGGTTTCTTTATAACAAATGAGTACAACGGTTGTTTACATCCCCCACTAGAGCTTGGTCACCCACATGAGCGAAGGTATTGCGAGGGGTGTTTTTTTCCTCGCATCTTGCTAGGATCATTGCTTAGTGTATTTTTGTTGTACTCACACCCCTATTCTAGTGATTTCGGCCTTGAGACTTCTGGACAAAAGTTACTTCGCAACAGTTTGAATGGATGAAACCGTACTGTGGATGGACGAAATCCGCGCACACCACCCAAGCAACTCTGGAATGACTTCCCTGTAAATACCAACAAACTATGGTTTCCCATACTTCAAAGTGGTGCAAGATTTCGTCCATCCAGAGTATGACAACTGGTTGATAGCCTACCAATTGGTGCCGACCGGCTAAACATTCATTGATCGTGACCGAGGCCTTCAGCGTTGCCGGAAGGTGGGGACCGAGAAAGGGCACGGGGTCTTGCGGCATCGGTGTCGAATTTGTGGTTCAAAAACCCAGTTGCCCAGTGGCGCCCCGTTTTTCCATGTTTTTTTTTCTGGGAAGGGCTCCCCTTTAAACTCAAACAACCAAAAAGGGTCCCGTTTTTTTCCAGTGGCCAGTGGGCATCTGAGATAAGGTGCCGAACAAGAGTCATGCGCACATACGGAGCCCCGAACATGCAAAAACTAGAGTGCCCTTGTTAAAAAGAACGAAGCTGAGTGTGGCGGTTTTCAGGGATCTATGGGTGTGGCTCAAACATACGGGTCCAACATGGAAGCCGCGCGCGCGTGTGTGTGTGTGTCTGTGTGTGTGTGTGTGTGTGTGTGTGTGTGTGTGTGTGTGTGTGTGTGTGTGTGTGTGTGTGTGTGTGTGTGTGTGTGTGTGTGTGTGTGTGCGTGTGTGTGTGTGTGTATGTATATATATATATATATATTTCATCCGAAGGATCAGACATTCCAAACCCTGCATGCGTTGCGGAGAATATTACTTCCCCAGAAAGGAACCAAAGAAACTAGGTAGACCCATGTCCTCCCAAATCAACCACATCATAGACTGCTAGTATTGCCCATTGCCTCTGAGAGAAAACCCATCTAACAGTGGCAACGAAAAGGGGATGTTTGATGGGGAGGGAGATATAGGTGTGGCTTCCCTTTGTCTGCCTTCAAACAGGCTGCTGACCCCTTTCCCAGCCACACCCATGTCGGCATCCTATTTGCTCTGGGAAAGCACGAGCGATTCAGCAGTGTTCTATGAAGGTTCCTTGAACAAATTCCGCTTCAAAAACTACGGGTCCCGATACATCGCTTCCGAAACAAAGGCGATTTCCAAGCCATAGCTTACTTGGGGCATTACTTATTTCCAGCTTCGTGAACTCGGTTGGAAGTGGATTCCCCTTTGCACTGCGCAAATGCAGTTGTTCTACCCTCGTCTTGGACACTTGCAGGTATTGCTTGATTGGCGGTTGGGATTAGTGGTCTGGCATTTGTGCCGACTTTTATGCATTTCCCATTTCACGGGATGAACGTCTATCCTTGAGCCATAGTATTTGCCGGCTTGATGCACCGGCTGGACAAACTCCACTTGGCACCGTCCGGCAGCTGCTTCGCCAGTCAGTATGCAAGTCGGTTCTATCCATCCCAACTGGTGCCGATCGGTGTGGAACTTGTAACCATGGTCTAAGGGTGGAAGTTTATAGAACAGGGGTCGTGGGAACAAACAAACATGTGAGCCATGATCAATGGAGCAAGATGCGAGTAAGTCTTTAGGCCATGGCACAATGAGTAAGGGAGAGCTCCCTGGGCGACAGTGTTTGGCTGCGGCTTGGGTGACGTTGCGCTTAGCTTAGTGGCGAAAAGGATTTTGTTTGCAACTGCACAAAGGATTTCCAACAGCACCGCCAGAGGAAAAGAGGGAAGCATCGCCTTTATGTAGCGCCATGGCACATGTGAGCTCGCCTAGTATGGGCTTATTCTGCCCCAGTCCCAACCTCAACCCTATAATGTGTTGGCAACTGGATCCTGCTATTGGTTTTCGGGGCATCTTGCCCCCCCCCCCCCCCCTTGACTTCGGCCGGCTCATGGGCGTCAACGTGCGACATGTTGGCTCAAGACACTTTACAGCGCTCGACGCACAGCTGCGAGTCCCCAGTCGGCAACGATGAAAGCGCTGGCCGGAAACTTGACCAGCGGAGCAGTGGTTTTCGGTGCCATGGGCCCTTTCAGTCTATACCCTCGGCTTTTCTTAGCCGCACTACCAACTTGAGCCGGGGATTTCGGGCCAGAAATGGTGGACAAAGGCAAAGCTCGGAAGCTATCCATTTCACCAGGCCGGGTTTCCCGGATAGCAAGCAAACAAAGATATGAAGGGCCAACATTTCCGAAGTCCCCAAAGACTTGCGAGCAAACATTGCTTGATTTGTACCCATCAGGCTCGCTCCAATTTGAGCCGTCTCTTTTCCATGCCGTCGCCGCGGGAGAAGAATGTCGCCGGACGGGGAGTCGAACAGCCAGGACGGGCCGACTTTCGTGGGTGGTTTCAGGTGTCCCCCCAAAGCGGCGCAACGGTTGTCCTTTCGGTTTCAGTTCGTTTGAAAAACTCGCCAAAAAAGGAGTACATTCAGAAAAAGGACCCATTTGAAGGGTGTGAAGCTTGACCTATGAAACATCTGAAAATCCCATTCTTGGGGTTGGGACGGGAAAATCTCCTCAGTATTTCCGTATGGCGGGGGGGTGTCTTTGGAGGGGTAGGGAGCCAGATCATTCGCAGAGTGAATCACTGTCAGCCACGTCACCCTGCGTGATGCCCGAAGGGTGGCAGGGCTTGCCAGAACTGACAGCCGGGCATATATATATATATATATACGTATCCATAATTTTACTTGGTACATCCAGCTCAGTACGATGTAGGTCATGTACTGGGGTCCAACTCTTATTTCAGGTTTGGGGAAGATTGAAAGAATTCCATTTGAACCCCTGGTACGACCCCTGATCAGGCGACCCAGATACCCAGATTGGCCCAGAGTGTCGGCCAATCCGACATTTCACCCCCTTCCATCAGATCAAGGATATTTTCGGGTATGATTTTGGGAGGTATGGAGCTTATATACCGCTTTATGTAAAGTTGTTTTTCCCGCCTTGCAAGCTGATGCTGGTGAAAAAAAACAAGCATCCACACCTCCAACAAAGGGGGGCGGGCCTGAAATTTCCCACAACACCCTCCACTGCCTCAGTTTCCCATGCCTTCCGAGCAGTGTAGTTGGATCCTTTTGGCACCCCGTCTTTAAGAGGGCATCAGGGTCTAGAATCGGGACCCTTCTTTTCGACCAGTAGATTGTAGTGCTTTTTGGGAGCCGAAATGACTTGGGAGGTCTAGATACTTGCAACCAAAGCAAACCGCCTGACTGTTTCTGCAGAAGGAGAGGTCTGTCTACAGGCGCTTTAAATTACACACCACCGTGGGGCCAATTTGAGGTGAGTTTCTCTTTGGGGTGATGTAGGAGGTGGACACTTTTGGAACCCTGTTGAAAGATGGCGGTAGTCTTCTGACACCGCTATCACACAACTCTATGCTCGGGAAGTTGTGTTCCGGACACGTCACATTCAAGGCCACACCCAAACGGGGTTCCATGTTAATCTTCAGGGCGAACTTCGAATCCTCTATTTGCATCACTTCCCGAGTTTCTGGACTCTAGTCACTTTTTCGGAAGACCATCTTAGTGGCAGCCAAGAAAAGTGGATGCTTCTCTTCAAATCCACGGAAGTGAGTTGTCTGTTGATTGTCTCCAGCTGGCAATGTTTGCGCGTAGACTTGTTTCGGACATCCACTCCACTCGAGATGAGGGTCTTGCGGTGCCCGTGCCAGTCGCAAGGACTTTGTTGGCCAGCATGTGCGTGGCGGGCTCAGTGCCGCGAGCTGTCAGCGTGAAGCTATCTTCAATGGATGCAGATGATGCAGCGTGAATTCTCAAGTTTTACAGTAGGCGGTTGGCAGCAAAGGAACTTGCAAATGGATCAACATTCGTTCAAAGCTGCAACTCAGTATTGAGAATGGGCTTGTGGGGTACTTTGACACCAGCTTAAGCCATGATTGTAGGGGTAAGCTAGTAGCAATGTTTTGCCCCATGATTGCTTCCAACGAACTCACAAGGGATGCCATAGCCAAAGGGGGATGCAGCTTCCGATAGCAAAGCTTGGGTACCCCAGGGGCCTTTAACGAGGACATCCAATGCAACCAAAGGTTTTGGTGCGCACCCCAAGGAACCCTGCTGGGAAACCCTGATCCGGAGCCCTGAGAAGATCTTTGGCATACGAAATGACTGAGGGCGCACATGGTTCTTGGTGTGTTTACTTGTTTCTTTGCTTGCTTGCTTTGCTTGCTTTTTGTGCTTGATTGCTTCATTCCTTGCTGAATTCCTTCATTCCTTGCTGCATATTGCACTAACATGTGGGCAGCGCCAAAAACCCTTATGAAAGGAGTTACTTGAGGGCCTCTCCTAACGAAGCCTCGCGAAAGCTTAAAATGCAGGGTGCGAAAGCCTGCGAAAGCCTTCGGCGAAAGTGGTTGAAGAAGAGCCTGCCGCGAAAGCGTCGCGAAAGTGCATGTTTGCAGTTTCTGTGTTGCCCGCGACAGCTCCGCGAAAGTGATCGTTACAAAACACATGCCCGCGAAAGTGAGACGCGTGGCAGCGAAAGGTTCCGCGAAAGCGGTTTGTTAGTAGATGGTTTTGTGTACCCTCCGCTCATGTGGCAGAAGCAATGGTCAATGTTAATTCTCATAAATGGAGTGAGTAACATGCGCCAAACCCACCACATTGCCATTTGGAAATGGAGGTTACTCACCAAAACCCAAGGTCTTCTGGGAATGCAATGATTTTGGCTTTGAGGCGGGATAGGGCAACTCTCAAATGGCTGTGGGTCAAAGCCAATGGTCCCATTTTGGGGTAGGTGAATTCACCACCCATTTTAGAACCTATTTTAGTTGGGATTGGGATGTTCACTGGGGCTAGGATTTGGATTTTGACCCATGGCCAAATGGTCAAAAATAGGTACCCCAAATGGAACCCTGGTAAATGGAATCAAAAACTAAACCCTGCATATCCTGGTGGCTTAATTTGGTGGCTTAATTTTGACCCACACCCAAAATTAAATGGCACTCATAAAACAATTACTGGGTGAATCAACTCCTTCGCGCTGGAAGTCTTTTCGTGGGGATTCGGAATTTCGACCAATGGCCAAACGGCAGTGGGGCAAAACTAGGTACCCAAATCGATCGTCGCGCGGGTTCCATCGGGTTTTCATGCCCCGCGCTTCGGCACTCGCAGGGCCCACGGCGCCAAGCCGCCGGCGCTGCCACCCGAGCCTCGGGCTCGGGGGCGCAGCGCCTCGGCAGGTGGCCTCCCCTGGGAGCCACAAGGGCCCCCAGCCAGGTGCGCTTCTCTACCCTTTTCTTTGTTGGTTGGGGTTGTAGTCTGCTAAAATAGACCAAAGAAAAGTTGGTACCCTTATTCTGGCCTCGCTACTGGAGGACCTAGACAAGTTGAAAAATGGGGAAGTTCCGGGAGCGATTCTGGCTGCGTTGAGGGCGACTGATTTCTCAAAACACGTCTATACACCAAACCCACACCGGTCCCTCAAAAATGACCTTGCTCGAAAGATACTCGTAGCTGGGCATGGCACGGGGCTCCAAAGGAAGTTTGGAAGGAATTTCCGTGTTACGGACACTGATTCAAAGGTATCTCTGCGTAAAGAATTCAATGGTGGCCTCTATCTGCTGATGGACGAAATCCACGCCGATATGCATCACTTGGGATTGACACCACATAAAAAGGGGACAAACCAGCTACCAACTGGTGCCGGACTTTGTCCGTTGCAGTATTACTGTGGTTGCAGCCGACCTGCCAAGGTTTGAACATCGCGGAAGGAAGTTTGGAATAGAAATCACGAAGCATGGTCAGCACTTTGTCGTGACAGGCGCTACAGACGCTTGGCATTTTGAGGTGCAGATTTCTTGCCAGGTGCAGCGCTTTTGCAGACTCAGGCACCGATTGCGTGACAGGTGCAGTACTTTGGCGATGCTGGCACGGACGCGTCGCAATCCCATTGGGATGCGCGAACTATCACGTGCAGATTTCGTGGCAGCTGTAGCAAATTTCGCAAGGTCAAAATTCGTTCAAGGCGCTGCAGATAAATAGCCCAGGGATAGATAGAGATATTGCAAGATAGACAAACAAATAGTTAAGCTGATAAATAAACAGGCCCTCCAGGCAAATATCCGTTTATTCTCAAGGTATGGCATAATATCCAGGTATTTCCTCGAAATACATTGTTTTTTCTTTTTCTTTTGGCGTTATAATCAGAATGGTGTTGCGTGAGCTATGGTTGTGGTTACATCCAGTCAATCGCTCCACGACCCATCCAAGCAAGCTCATTGAGCATGGCACTTGTTGCAAACCACCTGCCGAACTTGAAACATTGGTCAATCCGCAATTTTTTGGGAAGGCTTCCCAGATCGTGGCTCGGGAAGTTTCAAACAACTTTGGAAGATGAACTTTCTAAAAAGGGCAAAAAGTAGTCCCAGTTTACCGCAAGCGGTAGCTGCACGTGTAGCCATATTCTGTATGGCACTAAGCAATCTGCTATGGCTTGTTTGCGGAAAGCTCATACGATGGATACTTTTGGAGGGCCGTCCTACACTTGTTTGACCACCAAGTCCCGTGCTAAAGCATTGATCGTGAGCTCACCCTTCCAGAAGCTTTCCAGCAAGCAAAAGCGGGCACACAGCTTGCCTGTGCAAGCAACGAACTGGTTTTGTATGACATTGCGGTAGAATGTCCGACCGTTCAGGCCCTTCAGGCCGCAGTTTCACAGTGCTGTTAGCAGGCGCCGCCGTTTGTGGGCAAAATCTGGGGCTGACAATGACTCCTCTCGAGCAAGTCTCTTGTGAGTCTGGTGTGTGACACGCACACCGGAAGCACAAGTGGGCAGTGGGAGGCAGCCGTAAACGCCTGCTAGTCCTCCTTAAGAACACTCGTGGGAAATACGTACTACCATGTTTCCCATCGAGCCGAAGTATGAGGAATCTCTGGGTGCTGGAGAAAGTGTGACTTAGGCGGAGGTTTGCTTTTTGGCATTGGTTTGTGCGCCGAGTAGCGAATGCGAGTGCCACTTTGGATACTGCCTGATGCTTCAACAAATGCAAGAAGGCACCATGCTTAAGCATGATTGACACACGCAGAGCTACTGGTGGTCATGTAGTGAGCCGCGCACTTACTTGTGCATTCAAGTTTGTTGTCCCCCTTCCTTCTTGAGTTTTGGCTGACCGTGCCCTCACGTCTACCCCTGCCTTTTGAGCTCCAATCTTGAGGAGCAGGGGGGTATCGCGCACTTGGCCGTGCAAGAGGAATCCACAAGAGCTGCCAAAACACATCTAGAAACCCAATACAATTTGGCAGCGGAAGAAACCTGGTGGCTCCTTTCAACACCTGCTCGAGATCCGGGCCATTCGCTCTGTACTTCGAAAATCCTGACATTTCAATTGCAAAAAGCAAATAAAGGATGTAAGTCAAAATCCAGCTTTTCCGCTGGAAAATCCTTATTTTCCAAAACTTGTCCAAAAGCCAGGCTCTCCCATTACACCGTTGAAAGATTAAAGGATTTTCGCTTAGATGGGGGTAGAAGAATAGCTAGATAGGAAGGCAGACAGATAGAGAGTGGACAGAGAGAAAGACAAAGAAAGAGAGAGAGAGATAGAGAAAATGAGATCTACGTGAAGCACGTGCCCGACAGACAGGCAGGAAAGAAAGAGCAGAGAAAGAGAAAGGGAAAGAAAAGAGAAAGAATCAGAGACAGAGACAGAGACAGAGACAGAGAAAGAGAAAGAGACAGAGAAAGAGAAAGAGAGAGGGAGAAATAGAAAGAGAAAGAGGAAGAGAGAGAGAGAGAAGGAGAAAGAGGAAGAGAAGAGAAAGAGAACCAGAAAGAGCGCTATAGTTCTTATGTCATTGAAACTTCAGCCATTCGGCTTCGGCGGGTCTACTGGTATCTCCTTTGCCAACGCCACGGTGAGTTTGCTTTGGGTGGTAGTTTGCAAGATACTCATTTTGGACCCCTGGAAATTTGTTTGGCGCATTCAATCGTAGCAGTGAAACCTCGGACCCTCCCAAATCGATCAGCTTTAGTTCGATTCAGCCTGAGTGGCAGACATGTCGCTAATACGATATTTCCTTTTGTGCTTATCTTGGTCCAGAAATTGGATTGGACTGGCATACAACTTAGCCCTCCCTGCCAAAAAAAAAGGTGTGGAAGCCCCAAACACGGCTATCCCAAAGGGACATTCCGCTTAAAAGTCCAATCGTGTTGGGTTCCATGTTGACTGGCAGGGGCTATCAACCCCAGTCTGATATTCTAAAGCAGTACAGTAAGCATGATTGTGGCAAACCGGGTTTGAGCGCCAGCCCTTAAAAAAGATAAAGTACATGGGGATGTCACGGGGAAAATGTTGGACATGACTAAAAAAGAGCGCTAAGGTTGATAATGTCTCAAAATAGGGGTTTGCATTTGGCTTTCCTTTGAACCATACGTGGCAAAAACGCACACCGAGCATTTTGGGTATCCCCCTCAAGCTCAGGTGCTCCAGCTGAGGACGGAGCGGGTTCCGCTGGACTCCTCGTTGCCGAAAGGGTTGAAAGTGTGCGTCAAGTGCATGTTGCGTTCTTCTTTCTTGGTGGTTTAACATGCCATGCGGACATGGAACAAAGTGAAAAGCAAACAGGTGGTGGTTTAACAGCATTTGCCCTTTGAACTTGGGCCAACCCCCCTGCATATTTCTCTCGGGTGCAAGCACGTGGCGTTTACACGCTTTTGTTGTTTTGTTCAGGCGGAGTCATTTCTGCGGCCCTGCCCGAGGTTTTTCCACCCAGAAACGTGTGAGCATGACGAATCCGCTTAAAACTATGTTGAGAGCCCTAGGGTTCCTTAGGGTTCTTTGGGGAGCCTTGGGACCCCCCCCCGCCTTAGACTACTCTTTTCAGGAACTCCGGCAAGAATATCTAGGTCCTCCAGTAGTGCCCTTTTACCCTTTCTTTTGGTTGGGAGGGTTCCCCTACTCAAAGGTATCAGGACCCTCTACACGAACCGTGTTTTCAACCTGAATCGCCAAGTTTGGTGGGGGGGGGGTTTGGGGGGTGGGGGGACGGTCACGTTCATGTTGACCGCAAAGAAAAAGAACGACTCGCCACCGCCCTGGCTCGACTCTTGTCGAAGCTGCTGCCTTCGCGATTTCGCCTCTTGCGCGAGCGCGGCAGTTGCCATTGTAGGCTATTAAATCTTTCCTTCGTGAACAATGGCAGTTTCTTCCACAAACCTGCACCCGCTGGTTTGCGGAACCAACACAACCTGTTTCCTCGTGGGCCTCGTTGCCACAAACGAGAACATAGCAAATAAATTTCTCCTTTGTTCCCACCGTGGCTGTACTTGTGTGGCCTCAGAGCATATCCGCACACACGATCGCCGCACCGGCCCCACTTGGTTTGCTTGCGTGCCGGCTTGGGCGAAGCCTTCGCCTTAGCTCGTGCTTTTGGCCGCTCTGCAGACAGCTGAAGGTATGTGACTTCTGGGTCAAACTCAAGTTCTTCTTCGCTTTCACTCGCTTCGCAAACTGTAGACACTCGATTCCACAAGATGCGCTCATTCATGAAGGACCCTGAAAGAACGACAAGGGTCCTGACCAACACGACGCGTACTAAAATAGACTACAGAAAAAGTTGGTACCCTTATTATTCTAGCCTCTCTACTGGAGGACCTAGACATCATATAGATAGTCTCTGTCTGTGTCCCCTCCACTCGTCGCATCATTTGGGGCATCGCCGCGGAGGATGGATTTCAAGTCACTTGCCAGGTTTTAAGGCCGCATTTCAGGCCTTCCGGCCCCTTTCTCGCTTGATTCGTTTAGGAGCGGAATCAACAAATCCCACCCTGCGTCTTGTCCCATGCATGGCTGCCCCCAGAGCGTTTTTTTTGCAGGCTGCGAACTTCAAGATGCCGAAACAAACTGGTCGAATTTCAAGATACCAAAACAAACCTGTCAGGGAGAAATGCCTCGGATGATTCGTTTTGCGTTCTTGAGACTTTGGGTTCCGGGCACATAGATAAAGTCCTGGTCACTGGGCAACCAGCAACAAAGCGATACAGCATCAAACTGTCGGTCTTTTCATGGCTTGTTTGACCTTTTCGAAACCATACTTTAACTCCGCCAACTCTGCTGCCCAGTGGTACCCTTTCTTCAATTTTGTTTAAATAAGTGTTCCGATTCCTTTAAGTTCAACCAACAAAAGAAATCGGGTGCCGATTCTTTTTAATTTGCATGGACATCTACTGGTTGCATCTGAGCCAACATGTAACTTCGATCCCCGGCCCACTCCTGGAACGTGCCTGGAGGGATCCCTTGCTGCGCCGCTGTGTTTTAACCCATGCTTAACCATTTCTGTTTCGACACCATTGGGATCAGCAAGCAGCACAAACACTTTAAGGCTTGTATATACTAATTCTGCAAATCCATTTGGGTGTGGCTCAAATTTAAGGAGCTAGCGCAAGCTTTAGTCCTTGTTTCCATTTGCCAACCATGTGTTCCCTTGGAATCAAACCCATCTCCACTAGCCTATTCGTTCCGCACCACCCATTTTGGAACCTATTAGCGGGGATTGAATCGGATGTTCAATGGGGCTGCGATTTGGATTTTGAAAAGCCCATGGCCAATAGTTTCCGAGCGTCTGGCATCAAACCTATCGCCTCTTGAGTCGCACCTTCCAGGCCAGAGAGGCGCCTTCCGCTTTCGCGGAGAAGGGCCCCGCCGCGCCTCTCGCGGACACGCAGGCGGAAGCGGAAGCGGAAGCGGGGTCGATTGGCTATCGGTGGTCTCCGAGGACGTAAAGCACCCAAAAGAAAGGTTGTGCCCAAAACCCAGCGACTATGCTTTTTCCAAGATGACAAAGGTTAGTGAGGCGCCTGAAACAAGATGAGGGTTTGGGCACTCCAGTGATATGGTTTCACAAGCAACGGGGGGGCGGGAGATGGGGAGCCTTCTCACCGTGATAAAGATATGGGTGCTTGATTATTTTTGAGGCTCGGTGCCGTGTTCAGGTTGGTTTTAAAGGAAAACACTGCATTTTGTTTTATTGGGGGGAGGTCCTCCCAGAGCAAACAGAAAACGTTTGAAGTTTGCCTCCAAAGACAAGCCTCTTCACCGTGGACCACCAAGAGGATCCTGGTGGAAAGATACATCTAAAAACTACCTGCCTCTCAAAGGGGGGTCATCTAAACCAGTGGAAGAAGGGTGATTCTTTGCTGGGCAGAATGTCGTTCGGCCAATTTGGCGATCAGTACGCCAGACTTTTTGGAATTCCCGGTGGGTGGCTCCTTCCCGTTTGTGGTGGATGCCCCACCAAAGTTTGAACCTGACCCCAAGGGTTCCAATGGGGGGGGGTCTTTTCGGGGGCACCTCTGTTTGTTTGGCTTAAAAGGGAAACCAACCGGAAACCAAGCGTTTTGGTGCAAAACGACCCACCCAGTGCTTCCAGCTGCACCGATTCCGTGCGACATCTCGAGGCGGCTGAGATCCGGCAAGACCTCGCGAGTATCCAGTTGCAGCTCGGGGGCCTAGAGGGTCCGTAGGCCGCGTCCTTGTTTGGGGGACCCCCCCCCAAATGCTGGGTTTCCACGGTGGTTTCCCTTTGAAACCACCGAAAAGGGGTACCCTCGAAAACTAGAACTGGTGGCCCGAATGTGATTATAACATGCGGGGAGCGCCGGGGATGATGTCAAACGCGGTCTTTGGTTTCGTGCACGATCAGGCGAATGTCAATCTCTCAAGCGCATTTTCTGTGCCAGTGCGTGTGCAGGTTGCTTTGCGCAAGTGCTGTGTGCAGGTTGCTTTGCGCAAGTCCTTTGTGCAAGTGCTCTGCGCAAGGTGCTCTGGCTACCGTTCCTGGTTGCGTGCTTCGTCCAAAAATGGACGGGTGACCCAATGGGCTCCACCCGGTTTTTCAGGTCAGAAAGGGAGCTAAAGGCACAAGTCCCAACCGATGCGTTCAGATTGCCAAGCTGATGTCAAGCACAATGCTCTGAGGTTTGCCAAGCACCTTCCCCAGTTGTTTTTTTGCTTTAAAAAGTAAATAGAAAGCGTCAGCATAAAACAAGAAGTATTCTAGTGGAGGGACTTGGACATGATGGGTGATTTGTCCCTACCCACGCGCAAACTTTCTTTGGCGGCAAGCGGAGGCTGCAGAGGCTACTGGCAGGTCAGTCGGAGATCCAGGCGCGATGCTGGAAAGGAGGGTGGGGGGGAGGGAGCGGGCGTGGGTGTGGCTCAAAATTAAACAGGAGGGGTTAGGCAGGTTTTGGTCCATGTTTCCACTCACCAGGGTTGATTTTGGTACTAGTTTTGAGCCACAGCCGTGGGGTGTGGGTATGAGTGGGCCGGTGGGGGGGGTGGGTGGGTGGGAGGGAGGGTGGGTGAATCGATGGAATTGTTTGTTTGTTTGTTTGTTTGTTTGTTTGGTTGTGGGTTTGTTTGTTTGGTTGTGGGTTTGTTTGTTTGTTTGTTTGTTTGTTTGTTTGTTTGTTTCTTTGTTTGTTTGTTTGTTTGTTTGGTTGTGGGTTTGTTTGTTTGGTTGTGGGTTTGTTTGTTTGTTTGTTTGTTTGTTTGTTTGTTTGTTTGTTTGTTTGTTTGATTATTTTGTTGAGTCTAAGATGGCTTCCCCCAACCACTACGGAATTATTGCTATATGCCGTTGATATACTGTTCGGATGAAGCCGCAACCTTTGGTGGTGATTAGGGTAGACTTATACCATTCGGAATTTTGGCTGCGTTATTTCTCCTAGAAAGGTGAAACACTGCGTTTAAGTCTCTAGGGCAGTACTCAAGACGCCTGCCCGTGGGCCACAGCTTGCATGGCGTACGCGGCTGGGCGTAAGCCTGGCCATCGAGAATGCGACGGGGACTGTTCGCGTGGCCCCGATAGTGGAAGAATTCTACGACACATCGACTCGGCCTGTGCTGTGCTGAAAGATGGCAAGCGTACCGTTGCCGGCCTTCGCGGATGTGAGAAGGCGCCTTGAGTTTGCTGGCGTCGCCATGTGTCTTTGGGGTCGGCCTCAATGGCCCCGGTTTTGCTAAAAAACAAGGCCCTGGTCAAGGGCACTGATTTCCTTGGTTGCTTTATGAAAGGGAAGCCACATATATTCGAAATCATATCTGGCCAGATGCTGGCGTCCCTTAGGGATGCCCCACTACGAATTACGGACTAGAAGTAGCCCCCCCCCCCGCCCCACTTTGAACAAGCCATGATCATCATGAGGGAGAAGTGAGTTTCTCAAAATGGATCCCCTTTTGGCTGTGAATGGAAACTAAAAGGGAAACCCTTGCCATTTTTGGGCACCCGTATTTTGGAGAAACACCCAAACAAAGCGCTTGGCCCTGCTCTTGTGGCTTGTTGCTGCCAGGAAGCTGTCCGAGACTCAGAGGGGGAGAACCGAGGGGCGTCCGAGTGCCCTCGCACCGATTGATATGGAACCTGACAGGGGGGTCCTGGAAGATCGAATCATATTCCTTTAAAAGGCCCCCGGTCAGGTTCCATGTCAATGCATGGCAGGGTAGCTGGTCTAGTTCTCACACTCTTTGGGCTTGGACAGTTGTGGGAAAAACAAAGCTTATTGGTGTTGTTCTGGCCAATCGTCTCAACTAGGTCCTCCAGTAGTGCGCTTTATCCCTTTGTTGGGGGAGGGTTTCCCCTACTAAAATGGACTACAGCAAAAAGTTGGTACCGTTATTCTGACCTCTCCACTGGAGGACCTAGTCAAGTGACTTCAGCTTCACCCATTGAGAAACCTGCCGGATTGGAAGGGGCCGTTTCGCCAACTGGATATCTGAAGTGGGCTGCGTCCCCCATCAAAATCAACCTGCTTCCTGGGTTACTGGGTCTCCTCCGAAACGGTTTTAGACCTTTGAAGGGTCCTGTAGACCTCAAAAGAGAAATAGGAAAACAAACAAAGCCCAGGAAGGAAATTGAACAGGTTGAAGAGACTTTTTGGCAGATGTTACGCTACAGTGACCATGGCTATGAATTTGAAGAGGGCACCACCTCAAAAATGGTTGGTGGACATGAATCCCCACCAAGAGCATGAATCCCCGCCTAAATGATGTCCACGAAAGGGTCGATTTCTTTGCTGTGAGCCCCTCTCGGGTTTCCAAGTGCTTGAGGTGTTGAGACCTTGGCACGTCAACGCCGGCGCCTGAGTTTTGTTTTGTCCTGGGCAAGTGAATCTGGACGTCACAAATGGGTGTGTGTGTGTGCTTTGCTTGGCTTCTTGCCCTTTTTTGGGTTGGTAGCAAAGAGAAACCAAACGAGGCCATTCATTTTGGGGGGCTGGTTTAAAGGGCAACCAAAAGGAAGCCAATCATTTTGGCAAATGGGGAAGGACCTCGAAACTAGGGTTCTGCCCGAGTTTCACTTAAAGGCCTGCCCGTTTCAGGGTCCTAGAAGATCAATGTAAGGAGCTGCTGAACCTGGGGAGGATGAGATTGTCACTCTAGACACCCCTTTTGGTGAGCAAGACTGACGAAGGGTATAGGTTTACGAAGCTTATCATATTATGTTTGTGGATCATATTCCGATTCACCCAGATTTGTCCGGTCGCGACTACCTGAGGGTTCAGGGAGGCCAAAACGAGTTCAGGGCCATGTCTTGATTCAACGAGGAAATGGGTTTGTCTCGAAATCGGGGACTTGTTTGGGATGGCTGAGGACACCACATCTTGAGACAAGGTCGAGATCCAAATCAACCTAGGAGTAAATCTGGGGGCACATCAGCCAATGCAGTTTGTGTGTTGCTGGGTTGGGATTTTCAAAACCCGATAGGCAGGGAATGAGAAATGGAATGACTCCTTAAACAAATCCCCAATGGTTTCCTTTCAGGGAATCCCCAAACGGTTCATTTCCAACACCCGTACTCCTTGTCATTCCCTATCGCGCCGATCGCAAGTGGAGTGTGGCTGCCAATGAGGGGGAGGAGACCTTCCCAAAAGCCAAGGCGGGGATGGAGATTCGACGGGTAGGAGTTCCATGTCTCAAAATGAGGGAATTTCTCAAAAGGGCAACGGCACCCTGTTCCAAATTCAATTTTCAACTTTCTAAAAAGACAAATCAATTTCATGTTGTTTTTTTTTGAGAAAGCACAGGCCCAAACTTCAGCCTCCAAACGGGTTCCCTACTGTTGGTTTGAACAACCCCCTGTTGGGCCAATTGTGAAGCGAGTTCTTGGTGGTGATGCTTGAAGGGGACAAACTCCAGTGGGTGGCGCCGTTTTCTCATTTGTGCCTTTTCTGTTCTTTTTTTTTTCTGGGGGGAGGCGTGGTGTTCCGCTACAATCTACAGAGTTACTAGCTCCCCAAGACGGGGCGCGCCCGTTTGTGCAAATGGACGCCCCACCAGTCTAAGGTTTGCTCACCGATTTGGCAAGGGTCCTTGCCTTGCACTGGTTCTATCCGGTCCAGGCCTCCAGTGCACTTGTTCTGTTTTAAAAAGGGAGGGGTTCTCCGTCGTTATGATTGAGGGTGGTTGTGTTGATGGTCTCTGGGGGTTCTTCAAAGTCAGACAAGGGAATCGGTTGCCTCTCTTTCACCCACCACTGGATCCGGGGTGACTTTGATCATGGTACGATACTGAGACCATTTCAATTTCACTGCCCTATTTTTCCCATCCCCTGAGGTCCGGGGAGGGGTTTCGGGAACGAACCAGAAGAAGGGGATCCCCTAGGAAACCGAAACTTAGATGGGTCAGTTCGGGGGAATAACCCCGAAAACAGGAACCAGCTCATTATTCCGTTTGGGAAGTCTAGCGGTTTGCCCAGAACCTTTCAACACAACGAATCAAGGTGGTTGAGGGGTCAAGGGTTTGGAGGATAGCCGGTTTGGCGGGCTTTGAGTCAACACAAGCATCACCTTAGTTGGCTCAACACGCTTTGACTCACAGAAATGAGCACGGCACCCTGTTTTGGGTTGGCTCCTGTGGTCGTTCCTCAAAGATCAAACGACGCTGTTCACAGGTCCCTTGGTTTCATTTCATATTTCTGCCCTTGGGCTGACTGGGAGTCACCCCGTTGGCTTCCCCTCGTCTTCGTTTGTGTTTTTTGTTGGGGGGGGATCAAGACAACGAGACGAGAACTCCCCCCCCCAAAAAGCACACACAAAGAACAAACAAAAAAGCAACGCCCATGGCATCGTCTTCCCCTTTTTTTTGCGGCCGGGGGCGGTCACGTCAGGATCTCCACCCGGGCAAGCGCCAGACGGGGTCCTCCATGATGTCCCCAGGCCCGGAACCTCGGGCCTCGGCGCGAAAGGGGGAAACAGCGAAACTGGCATCGGCCAGATGGGCGGCTCACTCGTCTTTTGTGGAGCTACGGGCGGGCCATCATGTGGGTGGCTCGTATGGGTGGCTCGGCTTTTTTGGAGTTGGTACCCCGTGGTTGAAAGGGAAGACCAGAATTCATCAACCCCTGTTTATGTATAGGATGTTCCCCGCCAAAAGTGCTCTGAATCCCCACTACAAACCAGAGATGCCACCATATGAATACGCAGGTTGATGAATTCCGGAGTCAATATTTGGGTGGCTCGTCTTTGTTGGAGTTGGTACTCCTTGTTTGGTGTTGTTAAGGGAAGATCAAAAGCAAAACCACATGTTTGTTTGAATTTTAGCCTCTCTCACAGGAACATGGCATGGATCTTCCAGGTCCCTCGCACAGGTGCTATGTTGGTGGTACCCCTCAAACAATGGAAGCTGACAATCGGAGGGTTTCGGAAGACGAATGCTTTCTTTTTGTGGAATCCGATTCACTGCCTTCGCATAGAATCCTTGAAGTTTTGGAATCTATCTTCCTCTAGATCTTCCTGTAGCTGCTACGGAACCAAATGTCAATTTATTTTGGACACTCAATTGGACTCTGGCTGAAGCCTAGCTTAGCGGTTTTTGACAATCCACTCCCCTCTTTCACCCAGACACACAAACGTTAGGAAGCAAAGAAGAAGGAGCAACTTAGGGGACCCGGGACCTAGAAAGTTGGGAAATCAAGGGTCCCGTCTTGGGATGAATCGGACTTTCCTGGGGCACGAAGCCTCCCATGAAAGTTGCCAGGCAAATACCTTTGGAGTTGCCATCAATCAGCACAGACCCGAAACGACTCCGTTCGAGGCTCTGTGAACTCCATCCAGGCGGGAGCGAATGGGGCGAATCCGGGTCGTCTAGCCCTTGGCTGGTTTCTGGTTGGTCCAACCAACACAGTGTCCTTTTTAAGGGACACATCAAGGCCAGTGAAGAAATCTCCGAAAATACCGCAAAATACCGGTGATTTAGAGGATCTGCTTGTGAAGCAACCGGTTTCTGGATGCATCCTCAAAAAAACCCTGCAGAACTAACTGTGCAAATGCTGGGACGACTCTTCATTGTCCAGAGTCCAACCAATTCACTAGCAGAAATGCTTTTGGCCGCTTCGACCAACCCAGCCGTGTCGTACCCCAGCCCCAAACCAGAGCGACGACAAAGTTACCCTTCAAAGAGTACTGGGAGCTTCTATGTTCGCCTGAGGGACCGTCATGGGTTGGAAACCCCACTTCGGTGCAGGCAGCAGCCTGTTTTCCGTCGGGTGAGAACTCCTGCGGGTCCCGTGGGGTTTGGGGGCGCTGTTTTTTCAATGGGGTTCCGGGGAAAGTTTCGAGAGGGCTGGGGGTACATCCGTATGCATTTTCCCACTAGGATGTCCGCTTTTGTTTCTCTTTTTTTGGGGAGGGTGTGGAGATTGGTTTATCGGGAAAGGGGTGTGGGGGTGATTTGTTGGCACCCCCCAAAAAAAGCATAATACTAATCAAATGGTTCCTTTTGGTTTCCCTTCGCACCTACCCCGACAAGGGGACACCACAAAAGAAGCGGCAACCAGCGACATTGGTTTATACGGAATGGGGTGGCCATCCCCAGCTTTCCGTGATCGGCGCAGGAGAACAGCGATGAGATCAAGCACCTTGGATCCGACGCACCACACACGGGGAGGTTTTCCCAGGTGGGAATCGTGGGCTTCCGACTTCTCGGGGCGGAAAAAAGAAGATGCTTTTAAACCTTTTTTGGGCCGGTGCTGAAAACATGGCCCGTTTTTTGCATTCCAGACCAGAAGGAAATTGTTTGTTTTGAGTCATGTTCAGGTGGATAATATATGAGCCACTATATAGGTGTTGTTTTCCTTGCTTTGGTAGAAGAAAATGGACCTGGTTTCATCATCTGCCAGGGCCCTCGATTCTCCGAGAAGGACACCCCCCATGGCCCCCCAACCGTTTAGACCAGAAATCCACCGGAGGTTTGGGAAGGAAGCCGCTGGTTTGCGACGGAGGCCAAAATCAAAATCGTCAGCTGGCCAAAGACACATTTGTGGTCTCCAGAAACGATTTTAGATTTGAAGGTGGACCAACACCATCAGAACATATCATTTTCCGCGTGGCCCCAATTGTAGGCCACAACAAAAGGGACTGGCTAACTAGAAAGCCAACCGAGTGCCCCAGATTCTGTTTGGATCAGGAAGACGGCCAGCCGGCCGTGCTTCTGTGGGAGCTCATTCGAATTCCTTTGGGACTCCTTCCTGATCAAAACTGCTCAGGAAAAGTGTGTTTACACCGGAAGAACGTGGCAAGCATTGGGGAAAAATCACCTTGTTTAACTAGGTCCCCCAGGATCGTGCCCTTTCTTACCCCTTTTTTGGGGGAGGGTTCCCCTACTAAAATAGACTACAGAAAGAAGTTGGTGCCCTTATTCCAACCTCTCTACTGGAGGACCTAGTTAATGCTCACAGAAAACAACACGCATATTTGGCCAACAGGTCCCCCGGGTTCTACTCGGATCGCGCTTGAGCGCGATCCCAGAACAAGCTCTCCAGTTCAATCTCTCAAATGGGCCTGCCTTTTTCAGGTTGGACCCCCCCAAAAGTGGATTTCGGTCTTGTTCCTTTAACACCTCACAATCAAGGGTAGCCTCAGAAGAAGACACCCCCCAATTCTCAGCCACAAAAACGACAAAGGTAGCAAAACTCAAAAAGACGACGAGCCACCCGGCCACCTCTGAGGAAAGTGGCGCTTCAGAGGCGCGGATCCGATGGAACTGGACATCCATGGGTGGTTTGTTGGGTGTTGTGTTGGCGTATCCGGGGTCTGCTCCAAAAGCGGCTATTGGTTTTTTTTGGGGTTGATTGACACATCATGCTGACCCCGGGTTGATAAACCAACCAGTTTATTTCAAGGAGGGGTGTCAGCCTGGGTGAAATGTGGGGATCCAGACTACTTTTGGAGGGAAACAATCAACTGGGGTTGATAAATCTAGTGTCAACGTTAATCTGAGCATTTTTTTTGTACCCCAGATGTGGACCAAGATAAGGGTCTGTATCTGAATTTGGGGGGAGGGTTCCCCCATTTGGATGGCAATCATTAGCCAAGAGCAACCCACAGCTGACTCCTGACAAATGCAGCAAACAACGAAACAGGCAGCGAGCCCGGGCCATGCTGTTTCTTGTCATGGGTACAAGTGGGAGTGGGGCAACGAGCAACCGATTTTTTCGCCTGGACGAACACCCATGAAACTTCCAGCAGATATCATCCTAGAGCCCCCCCCCGAACCCAAACAGACCACCAGCCCCCAAACACAGCTCATGGCCCAGTTTAGTCTTTTCCAAGGCGGTGCGGGACCCCCCTTTCAGCGGGGGTGTGAGAATAGGGGGTCCCCTTCCAGCGGGGGTGTGAGAATAGGGGAGTTTGATCGAAGGTATCCTTTAGGTTTTTGGGGGAAACGTCTCCAGCTTCATTCGTCCGCGGTCGACATTAGGGCCATGTTGAAACCTTCGTGAAGAGGCCCATGCTCAACTGGACCTAAGCATGTATCTTTGCTGGGACTCTGGGAACTTCAAATGACGAGCTTGCCAAACTGGGTTTGATGCAGCGCGAGCTTGCCTAATTACCTGGGTTTGATGAAGCGCGGTTTTCGCGAGAGGTTCCATGAAGATTCCTCAAGGCTCCCCTTATTGCCAGGTGGAGTCAGCACCTTTGTACTAGTTTGAAGCGCTGCTACGCACTAAATTTGCCCATCCGCTGCCTTTGTTCTCCTTATTGGCCTGCCAGTTTTCCATTAGCCCCCGAGAAAGAAACCTAAAGAAGGCACCTCAAAGGGAACTAGAAGCCCAAAAAACAGGATCTTGAAAACCTACGAACCTAAAACAGGAACCCAAAGCAAGAACAGGGACCTACCCAGAGAAAAAGGGCTCGGCCTTCCTGACATTGGAACCTCTACGCCCAAGTCTGTGGCGCTTTTGGCATGGTTTCCCCGAGCTGGGTCTGGCTTTTCAGGGTACTTGGCTTCTGTTTTTTCGAAGGGAAGTCACAAGAAAAATCACTATTATCGGAGTTTCGTAAAACAGACACCCGCCAGTTGCACTTGAACTTTTCATACGCACTCGAGATCTTGCTTGGATATTCAAGCTGAGTGATTCGGTTTCCAAGCGCGCCCTTTCAGTGGGCCGGTTTTTAACCATATCCCAGTCGCAGTGATTTTTCGTGGTTGCCCGAGTCTGAACATCGTAACTGTCTTGCACCCTGTTTGCTTCTCTCTTGGTGATTTGGATCGGTGGTTTGGAGGTGTTCCAGGTGTCCGATTGTTACAATGTCACAGGAACCAGGGCTTCAGATCCTCAAATCCAAACCGATCCAACCGCAAGGGTGACCTGTGGCCGCAAAAGGTGGGATGGGAGTCGGGGGTCCCTATTTTTCCCTCTTTGGTGGGTTTAGACATCACCTTTTTGGCCCATGAGAGGTGATGCTTTAAGGGGAAATATAGGGAGCCCTGTGGGAGCCGGGGGCCCTTCGGCACGGATTTTTTTTAGCGCAGGCTCTTTGATCTGGCAGAAGACCACGAGGAGAAGATGAGGTGCGCGAAAAGCGGGTCACAGGGCCGGAACGGCGGAGCGGCGGAACGGGTGGGCGTTGGGCGCCCGAGATTCGTGCAGCTAAATTGGTACTGGTGCGTTGTTTTTTTTGGGCGGGTAGCCTTTTCAGGTTGGTTCAAAGGACAAGTCAAGAGGAAGGTTACGGGGAAACCCATGTGGGAGAGTTCTTTGTATTTTGACACATGCCCAACTTCGGAGTTGTGTCGCAAGTGAAGCTTGGCCGTTTGAGCATGACTCGGTTCGGACAATTCGAAGCACAAGCACTTCAACGACGAGACAGGCTCCAACATTTCCCGTGAAGGATCAAACATGGAAGTTGCTGTCCTTAAATTTGGGTCCTCGGTTGGGAGCCCGAGTTTTCCCATGTCTTCGCATCCAGCTCTCGCCCGGCTTGCGCATCGAGGAAGACGGAAAAGGTGTTTGTTTCAGGAAAGTTGTCGATCACTCACTCACCCACCCCCCAAACACATCCCCTGGAAAGAGACTAAAAGGAAAAATAGAGGTGTGTTGGGGGCGGGGCGGTGTGTTTGAATCCTAGGAAAAGTTCTATGAGTCTGTCCAAAGGGCTTTTGTCACCAACTTTGTTTGCAAACGGTTTGCAACCCAAAGGCGAGCACTCAGGGGGTTGAGTATGGGATGTTTCTCTTGAGGCGATGGGATGTTGTCCAAGCCCTTGGTGCCGCTTCTTCTCTCCCTAACTGAGCCCCTTTCTGGCACACGGTTCCTACTCTTTTGGTATCCAAGGGTGGAGCCACAAATTTATGACATGCAGACTGAAATTAGCCAGTCGCCAATCCGTTTAGATGAGCGACAATCTTGGGTCCAGGTTTAAGCATCCGTCTCTTCGGTTTTTGTTCTTCGCACTTCAAAGCGAGCCTTGCCCTGTCCTAATCACACGGTAGGGTCCTCGAGTTGCTGCTTTCGAACATCGGGACAGTTTGGACGGTTGCGAGATTGTAGCCATGGTTACAAGCGGGTCGGAGGTCGGTTGATCCGTAAATTCCGGCAACTTCCCTCTGCTTGAACATCCAAGTGGGGTGAGTTTTTGTGTTCAGAAATCCGGGTGCTCGTGTTCAGGAAGATGAAGCGACAACGCAGCCATCAGAAGGCCCGATCCATGGGCTCGAGTTCGAGTCTCGCTGGCCAGGAGAAAACTGATCCTGCGGCTCACTTCCTGAGTTCATGGACTTTAAAGCTTGTTGGGTTTGGAACGTTCTTAGTGGTAAATGAACAGTTTGGACTTTTTTTTCTTTCGGCCAATCCACTCAGGGAGTGAGGCGGTAGGTGTATCAGGTTACCCTTGGTTGGTGGCTTGGATTGGTGTTTTGGGGGGCTTTGAAAACACACGGGGGAAGGCACCAATTGGAGGGAAGATTAATTTACAGCTTGGTGGTTCCTTATGACATATCCCGCTGGCTGCACGTCTAAGCTTCAGGGATCAGTAAGCCACTCAGAAAAAAGGGTGCCCTTGTTCTCGTGGCCACACACCTGGGATAGCAAATATTTCTGTCGCGGCGTACTCATCCTCACTCATTGTTCGACTAGATATGTTTTGATCCCGGGCTAAGGCACCCGCAAACGCCGAATCGATGAACCCAGATGGGTGTTTCTCAAAATTAGGGACCGGGAGGTTCGAGCTTCCGTTAAGACGAATTCCAAAGCGGGAGGTACCCAATTTTGAGACAAGACCAGATGTGCATTTTCGGTATGAATTTCTACTTTATTGGATTATCGCTATTGCTTTGCAAGGCAAGGACGCACTCTGACTGGGAGACAGCAACCATTTCTGATCAGTGTTGCAGCACTTCCTCTCCCCCATTTGGAACAGCCCTGTCAACACGCGCGATGCTGTCAATACCTGCTTGGCTCATCACTTGTGGGATGATGTCTTGCTTTTTGGGTCAAGGGCTAAAGCGTTCAAATTTTATGGTTTTTGGCCACTAAGTAATCGCAGACGTTGTTAATAGATCTTGACTCTGACTCAACTTGGTTTTCTCCCCCGCTGAGTTGCTTCACTTGATATTTTTTGGGAAGACCACGCAAGTCGTAGACAAACAGTTCAGACTTGTTCTGTCCAAATCCGTTCGATCGGAAGTGAGTTCTAACGCATCCCACGAGCTCATTCTACAATGGGGTCAAAGTAGATAGCACAGTTCTTCCATTTTGGTTTGTTCATCCCCTTTACACACCCACATCTACCAGGAAGTGTGCCCATGTTCTTTCGCCCTCGCGTAACTATTTCGGCACTTATGCTATTTTTTTCGTCCGTGGTCTAGGTACTCCGAGCAGTTTGGCCCCTTCCTTTCAGACTGAACCAAGCCCCCCGAAAAGGACTGCCGGGACCTAGCCTTGAGGCCATATTTAGCCATGGCATGTCTCGAATCAGGGATCCCGTCCGCTACGTGGCTGGGTTGCTTTGGGTTTCCCTTGAAATACTCACCAAAAGGGAGCTTTTCCACAATCTTGAGTTTCATTAGTTGCTGCCTTCAGGCTTGCCAAGCCCCAACCCTTGTAGGGTTTCTTGAAGAAGAGCCCCGCAGCCACAACCGCCGAGTTAACCTTTTGCAAACATAATATGGGTATGTGATGTCCCAGAATGACTCATTTCCTTTTGGTTTCCTTGAAACCAAGGTGACAAAAGGTACGGACCCTCAAACAAATGCCCACCTTGTCTTATTGTAACCAGGGCTGCCCGTCTAGTGATCCCTCCCTTGGCTCCCACACAAGTCGCTCACCAGGTGTCGGAAATGATGTCTCCACAACATCTGGAGATGACGGTGGACACCATTATGGCAGTGCCTCGGAGATTTTGACGACCCAACGACTACCCTAAGCTGGCGGTCGGCCGTGAGTTGCAAGCTTGGCCAGTGCGGCCTCCCTCAGTTCCCCACGTGCTGCTGGGAAATCACCCTTGGCCCAAGCTGATTAAAACAACAGGGCTACCATCCCAACCAGTATCTAGGCCCCAGACCATCCAAGTCTGAGACTTCCGCTTGTGCAACTTGAGGCCGCCGGTGTGGCAATGTCGGTCATTTGGAGTTCGAGCGGGGTGTCCTCGGGAAGGATTGGCCAACCCTCCCGCCAAGAATGTGTAGATATTTGTAGGTGGTTCTATTGTAGTAAGCGCTATGCTTTGTAGTAAGGGCCCATATTCATTAAAAACCATGCAGGTAGGGCTCATTTGGGTCTTCATGCCCAGTCGTGTTTATATTTTGCCTGGTCATTGCTGAGGTGAGCTTCCTCTTGAAGGGTCGGGTCAACATGGCCGCATCTTTGATGTGTTCAGCATTCATTCCTATCTCAGGGTTGCCCGGAGCTTCTAAACAAATGCTGTAGTTTCCTTTGGTTTGCCTCCTTTGGCTTGCTTTGGTTTCCTTTGGTTTCCTGTGGTTTCCTGTGGTTTCCTGTGGTTTCCTTTGGCTTTCGTTGGCTTCCTCTCATCCGCCAACTTTCGAAGCATAGGCCATCATCGGCCTCAACGCCGTGTTCATCGGCATCTCGAGCCTTGGCTTCACACTTTCAAATGTCGAAGGAATTTCCTGCTGTGGATGGCGAAATCCTACACCACCTAAGAAGCCCTGGAATGATTCGATTCCCCTGTGGCCAACAAACAGTGGTTTCCCATTGTTTCAAAGTGGTGCAGGATTTCGTCCATCCACAGTATGACCCTAGGGAAATTACCCCAAATAGCCCGAAATAAATCAACCTCACAAGGTTTTATCTGGACATGGGCTAAACTAAGGTGATTCCCCCCAGGGCGTAGTCCCAGGGTGGAATAGGACAACTCTTGGATTTGGAACAAGGCCCTGGCACAAGGTGGGTGCGGCTCCAAAATAGGAATCGGCCCAACATGGAACCATGATAAGTGGAGAAGTAGACAGAAACCTGCAGTCCCCTGGTGCCAGACTCAACCAAAGCCCTTGGCGCGCCTTTTCGCGCAGACTCGGTCTACTCTCTAAATGTCATCCAGAAGGAGACGATTCCACGTGATTCCATGACCGTTGCGCGATCTCGATTCTCGTTTCACCGCGGCTGGCCACATTTTCCAGAGCCAGTATTACCGGTCAGACAGCGCAGAGGCCCAAATAGTGCAAGGCTCGTGAATGGACAATTCGCAAGCAAACAAGTTTTGGGACTCATGGCTTTCGGGGAGCCGGGGAACCATAAGACTTACAAGCGCTTATATCCCCTCTATGCTATTTTCTCCCCTTTCGACGTGCGGCCAAAATTCGGATCGGACGTGGCCATGAAGGATATGAATCCTCCCATGAATGATGTCCACAGGGTCCCCAAATAAAGCTCATATTCAATTTGTGTACCCTACCTGCCACTAACATGGCATTTGACAAGGTGTCGGTACCCTCCGAAACAAGTGCTGTGGTGGGAAGGGCATATACCCCGGTTTTATGTCAAATTGGTCTTGCTATACACCATCCCGGTTTCCCACAGAGGCGATTTTCCAACCTCTGGTTCCCGACCTCTCCGAGGAGCGATCACTCCGACAACTCCATCTCCTGGCTAGTAGCACCGCGGTGGGAATTTCCGCGTTTTCTTTGGCGTTTGCGGATGGGTACTGGAAACCATGGCCCCGCCCCCAATGATTGTGACCCGACAGAACCAGGAAACCATGACCCCCAATGGTCTGCAGCTGGAAACAGAACATTGATCGGCTTTCGAAGGGAAAGCCAGCGGCAAGAGAACTCTCACCGGAAAATTCCAGTGAAGCCCAAAAAGCACACTCGATCCCACTCGTAATGTGAGCCGATTTGAAGCAAACTGGACTATACACCCACAAAACAGCGTTGCAGCAGCAGCAGAAGCAACGACAACAACAGTAAAGTACAAGCAAAAACAGGGACCCCGTACACAAGAAGCTTCTTTCTTTTACTACCCTGTGTAGAAACGACCCGTCGGTTGGTTTTGCCTCCCCCCTCACAACAGCAGCAGATGTGGAAAACTGCTGGGCAGCCAGGAGAAACAGCTAAGAATCAATGAGCAAGGTAGGAGTTGAGTGAAGCAGGTAGAAATTTATCACAAAGGTAGGAGTTCTATTGGTCAGAATTTTTGGAAAAGGAAAGTAGTCTACACTTGGACATCCATACAGCTCAAGGTGCTTGAAACCATGGAAAACGATAGGAAACTTTCAAAACATGATACCTTTGTGCTACAGACTAAACGCTGGAAAACGATAGGGGACTCTCTAAATTCGAACGTACTTACTGTGAACAACAAATTTTGACGGAACTTCCTATGAGAAACAGCTGGGATGTCAATGCCAAACTTGGGAAGCCTTGCACCGCGCCTTCCGAGCTCCGGAGGGCTCAAAGCTTCCGCGCTTCCGAGAGCTTCCGTGGGGTTCTTGTGACCTTCCGTGACCTTCAGTTGACCTTTTGGCGTTTCAGGCCGAAAGTTGTCATCCCCAACTCGTAGACCTGCAACAGGGACCGCCGATGTTTGCAGCCAATCTCTCAAGTTGTCGACTTGAACTTCTCAGGGCCTCCCTGTCTTTGTTGCCTCACCACCACCATGACCACCGCCACCATCACCACCACCACCGCCACCGCCACCGCCACCACCACCACCACCACCACCACCACCACCACCACCACCACCACCAGCGACACCACCACCACCACCACCAGCGACACCACCACCACCACCACCAGCGACACCACCACCACCACCAGCGACACCACCACAGCAGCAGCAGCAGCAGCAGGATCACCAGCAACATCACCAGCAGCAGCAGCAAGATCACCAGCAGCAGCACCAGCAGCAGCAGCAGCAGCAGCAGCAGCAGCAGCAGCAGCAGCAGCAGCAGCAGCAGCAGCAAGATCACCAGCAGGATCACCAGCAAGATCACCAGCAGCAACAGCAGCAGCAGCAGCAGCAGCAGCACCAGCAAGATCACCAGCAGCAGCAGCAGCAGCAGCAGCAGCAGCAGCAGCAGCAGCAGCAGCAGCAGCAAGATCACGAGCAGCAGCAGCAGCAGCAGCAGCAGTAGCAGCAGCAGCACCAGCAAGATCACCAGCAGCAGCAGCAGCAGCAGCAGCAGCAGCAGCAGCAAGATCACCAGCAGGATCACCATCAAGATCACCGGCGGCAGCAGCAGCAGCAGCAGCAGCAAGATCACCAGCAGGGTCACCAGCAAGAGCAGCAGCAGCAGCAGCAGCAACAGCAGCAGCAGCAGCAGCAGCAGCAAGATCACCAGCAGCAGCAAGATCACCAGCAGCAGCAAGATCACCAGCAGCAGCAAGATCACCAGCAGCAGCAAGACCACCAGCAGCAGCAAGATCACCAGCAGCAGCAAGATCACCAGCAGCAGCAGCAGCAGCAGCTGCAGCAGCAGCAGCAAGATCACCAGCAAGATCGGCAGCTGCAGCTGCAGCAGCAAGATCACCAGCAGGGTCACCAGCAAGATCACCAGCAGCAGCAGCAGCAGCAGCAGCAGCAGCAGCAGCAGCAGCAGCAGCAGCAGCAAGATCACCACCAGCAGCAGCAGCAGCAGCAGCAAGATCACCAGCAGGGTCACCAGCAAGATCACCAGCAGGGTCACCAGCAGCAGCAGCAGCAGCAGCAGCAGCAGCAGCAGCAGCAGCAGCAGCAGCAGCAGCAGCAGCAGCAAGATCACCAGCAAGATCACCAGCAAGATCACCAGCAAGATCACCAGCAGCAGCAGCAGCAGCAGCAGGATCACCAGCAGCAGCAGGATCACCAGCAGCAGCAGGATCACCAGCAGCAGCAGCAGGATCACCAGCAGCAGCAGCAGCAGCAGCAGCAGCAGCAGCAGCAGCAGCAGCAGCAGCAGCAGCAGCAGCAGCAGCAGCAGCAGCAGCAGCAGCAGCAGCAGCAGCAGCAGCAGCAGCAGCAGCAGCAGCAGCAGCAGCAGCAGCAGCAGCAGCAGCAGCAGCAGCAGCAGCAGCAGCAGCAGCAGCAGCAGCAGCAGCAGCAGCAGCAGCAGCAGCAGCAGCAGCAGCAGCAGCAGCAGCAGCAGCAGCAGCAGCAGCAGCAGCAGCAGCAGCAGCAGCAGCAGCAGCAGCAGCAGCAGCAGCAGCAGCAGCAGCAGCAGCAGCAGCAGCAGCAGCAGCAGCAGCAGCAGCAGCAGCAGCAGCAGCAGCAGCAGCAGCAGCAGCAGCAGCAGCAGCAGCAGCAGCAGCAGCAGCAGCAGCAGCAGCAGCAGTAGCAGCAGCTCCCAGCGCCGGAACGGGCGCTGGCACCGCCATTGCTACTGCCGCCACCATTGTTTGCTCTCACAATCAGTACCTCCACCGCCGCCGCCGCCGCCGCCGCCACCCCCACCAACCGCGACCACAGCGACCACCACATCCGCCATCACAACAACAACCACTACCTCAACCACAACCGCAACCAGAGCGACAGCCAGAACCTGGCAAAGTTCAGGATCTGATTCCCGCACAGAGGTCCCTCTTGACTTTCGATACTCACTTCCCCAGTTTCGGGACCCATGTATCACTCCCACCTACTCGGAGTTACAGCTGGGTCTATGATTTGACCAACATCAAAGCCACCCGGAGTGGTCGGTGAAAGGGAAACACTTTCTGACTTTGATACCCCATAGAAACTATGAAGACAATGGGCAGCACATGGCAGTACTGAGGTTTGTTCTGGTGGGAGAGTTGCCTGATTCTTCTCATGGCTTGATTCAGTTGTCCCTTTCGCGGCATCCTGTTTTGTGAGCAACCCGGGTACGAATTCGACTTTGATATGTTGATGACAGCGCTTTTTCTCGCAGGTCAGCTCGACCAACTCATGTTTCCCAGCTGTTGTGTCATGGGTGAGTCCGTCTTAAATAGGTAGACCAACCCAAAAAAGTAAATGTGCTTTGCTTGTGGTATTCCTCTGAAACGGTGAGAAGAATACTGCCCCTCTGTAAAAACAAGCATATGGCCCAGGTAGACGCGTGTTTCTCCTTCCTCTTCATCGTGGAGTGGCCTGGAATCCATTGGCCTCCCGCCCATTCCCAACTGTTCCAGATCTCCTTCAGGTCGTTCAGACATTTCCCACGAAACCACACGAATCTCCTTTGACAGGTTTGGGGGTTAGAGTCAGAGACTGAGGTTTGTTTCTCTTCCCGAGCCGGATTAGGTGAAATGGGGCCACTGTGGGCTGTTGGAAAGTTCCTTTGAGGCCAAGTCTGTGCCAAATGAGTTTGCCCTTTTAATCAGGAGGAAAGAAATCTGACGGGTGCTGAAAGGGTTCTAGAAGGTTTTTGCATCCGAAAAGTTAGATTCCATTGACTGGGCCACCCAAGAAAGGCCTTCGCAGATTGAGGCAGACCTCTAAAGGAAAGCCATCGAATCAACGCCAACTCAACCTTTTGGTGGGCAGCCTCTCTGAGGTCTCGGGTCAGCTACAAAGGGTGTTTTGGTCGTCAACCTTTGGTGGTTGCCCCCGGGAATTGGTCCGGAACCCAACAGAAAGGGGCAGTTTCCCGCAAAAACGACGGGACGCTGCCTCTGTTGGCTGATTTGTTTTTAACAGGAAGCCAAAGGTCGGGTATCGCTGAATTGTTTCGGGTTGTCCTTTCCGGAAACCTTATTGGGGCTTGGGCTTCCCTAACCCTAAAGGGGGGGTTGTAACCAACAATTTTTCTAGGGCACACCACCCGTTTTCTGGTGCCTGAGAACCTGTGCTGCGGATTCTTTGGGAATAACTAAAGACGTTCCAGCCTGCCTCAGTGGAAGGTGTGTGTGCTTGGTGGCCCGCAAAGGCGTGGCGCTTGGGTGAAAGCAGATGGCACAGGTCATGGAGTTCAATTCCATGACTGGTTGCCAGAACGCGGTTTGAGCTTTTAGAGAGGAACGCACAGTAGAATGTTGTTTTCACATCAACTTGGTTGAACATCAACCTTTCCTTAGCTCACTGTTTAGCTCATGTTTGTCCACTTTCAGGCATCTTATCCGCGTTGGACGGGGTTTGTCTCAACATAGGGCAGTCCCACCTCAAGGAAAACGCGTATTTTCCCTTTGGTCACCCGTTAAAACAGCCCCAAACAGCTGCCCCAGCGACACACCCATAAACCCTGTACCCTGGGCACGACTTGTTCGATCGGCCTAGGCTCGCCTTCAAGATTGGCATACACGGCTGCGTCCAGCAGCTCGGCCAGATGACTTTTCCAGAAGGAATAGGGCTCCATATGTTGTTGGAGTAGACTAAATGTGGTTGGCAGAATCAAACACATAATACATGTCCTGTGTTCTCCATTGGACCAAGCAAACGGATGGTTGAACATCAGCTTGGGACATTTGGTTGCGAGCTTCTGAGGTTTAAGGAGGAGATCTAGGGAACGAGTTGAGGAGTTGGTTTTTGGATACCAACAGGTTTTTTAAAGAAGGGGCGTTACTCTGTTGCCCAGTTCATTCCTCCCCTTTCTCATTTTTTTTTTGGGAAGGGTTCCGATTCCTGTAAAGTCAACCAACCAAAGGATGCCTTTTTTTCCCATGGCCACTCTGAGGTTATGTTGAAACAAGGGGCTAGCCCCACCCATGCTTAAACAAGGATGCTTTGTGTAGATGGTTGCTGTTTGGCTCGAGCTTGAACCATGTGCCCATGTCAAACTTGGCGGGATGTGCTTGCGGTTTGTAGAAAGTACAAAAAAGCCCTGCTTGTTGGGCCAAACCGAGAGGTGAGACGGAGGTCAAAGCAGCTTTGGGGCAAGGCGAACGGGACCTAACTCGTGAACAATTGGTAGACCTGGAGGCCTCGAAGCAGGAACATCGCCCTCCCCCCCCACTAAAAGGTGACCCTCTGAAGAACTGGGGAGTATCAATCAGGGGGCGATATGATCTTGGAACCGAAAAGGGGATAGCCGGAGAAATCGACCATTCAACTACCTTGAAAGGGAAGCCAGACCCTCGGCGGAGGATGGATCCGGTGGTGAGCTCACATCCCGAGTTCTGGACTTGAACAGCTTGTTGTGCAGATCATCTCATCCTCCCTAAACATGGCACCTGTCAAGGTGTCCCTTCAAGAGGAAACTTATCTTCCAGGTACCCTCCCACAGGGTGCCATGTTAGTGGAAAGAAGGGAAGTGGCACAGATGTCTTGACTTGTTGATGAAATGAGTTGTTCTTGATCGCTCAAGTTCAAAGACGCTGAATGGGTTCTAACAAACAGCTAGCGTGCATTCAGCGCAATGTGTTTGTAATACCCACCGATCAGGATCGCCCAATTAAGAGGAAGTGGGTTCAGTAGAACCAGTTGGTTTGTGGCTTAGGGCGTCCATCGCAATCGATGCGAAGTGGGAGTTGTGTCCATTTGACTCGTTTAACAATCCATTGGCTGAAGTTAGCTTGGCTCGCTTGCTAATTGGAGTGTGGTCTTAAATGGCCATCCATCTCCTGCTCATTCCTAGGGCCGCGGGTTTCCTCCTCCCTTTTTTTAAGGGTAGACAAAGTATGAAACATAATCCCAAAAATGTGGGTCTCCTCCAAAGCCCGCATTTCAAGGCGGTAGACTATGTATCCGAAAATATGTCTATGTAACCCAGTGCGCCAACAAGTTCACTCAAACGCCATGCTCGGTCTCTCGATGGCAGGCACTTCTCCGGGCCGGGATTTGTCATGAACTGCCGGGGACGCCCAGAGGGTTGGAGGTGAGTGTCTCCCATAGCTCCAAAGCCATCTTGCGAACACACTGAGCCTCTGGGATATATTATCCCTCAAACAGTTGATTACCATCTGCACATCCGCAGATTCTACCAGTAGTTCCAAATGCCAAAACCTAGATTAAGGGACCAAGTAAAGGACCACATCAATGAAAGCTCGATTCAGCCCCAAAGGAGCTCGCCAAATCGGCAGTCACTATATCCTAAAATGGTTCCCGAAGAAACTGAAACCCAACATTTGGGTGTGTGTTAAGATAGGGAACCCCCCATAAAAGTAATGATGGTTTTCCTTTTGGTTTCCTTTTTAAACCCCAAACCATGATATCAACTCCCAAAGAAAGCTGAAGTCATCGGCGACATCATTGACAAGCTCATCATCAAATCGCATTCGCTGGACAAGGTTATCAAAGAAGACCGTCACTATGCTTGCCATGGCCTGCCATGCAAAAGACCTTTTCACCTCTCTCCCCCCGGCTTCATCATGGGCAACCGCATTTCGCAGGACCTTCTTCAGGTCTCCAGCAGATCCGCGAGGGAACGAAAAACTCTTAAATGAAAGTGATGAGTCTGAAGTGCTTATTTTTGGGGGGCTCTTTGGCCAGGTTATAGCCTAATTCATTGCTGGCAGATGCTTGACAATCAAACTCCCATCGACTATGCCTCCCTCATCTAGTTTTTGGGGCCAGGCTTTCGCACATTTTGGAATCGGATGTATTGATTGCGCCCTTTGGAATCCTGGCTTGCCAAAGCGCTGCAAAACCGATGCAGAGGACAAACACCGATACCAATCAGTCAGCACATGAACCCCCTTGTTTCTTGCACACCAATTCCCTCGGAAATCTCCAAGTTTATGCGCTAACTGTATACGTTGGGGGGCATATGCAAACTATTTTTTAGACGCTATATCCGTTGGTTCCTCAAGGGACATAGTCAAGAGGGCAAGCCGGAACGAAGTGAAGGTTGAGCAAGCAGAACAGCCATGGCCTAACTGAACCCAGCAGTTTCTTCAAACAGCTTGTTTAAGCCTTATATAGTTCAAACGAGAACTTGGCCATTGTGGGGCCCTTCTATTCGAAATTCTTTGGTAATTGAAGGTTTTGGTTCTGGGAGTCCCATTTTGGGTTACTTTCGCGGCCAACCCCTCAATTAATCTGCAAAGTTTGTTGATTTGCGGTCAACAATTCCTGGGAAGTAACATTAACCCTGCATAAATAGACCTGTCCTACTTTTTGGGGGGTCTTCCAAAAGCTATGACCTTCCTAAAACAAGACACCCACCTGTTCGACCAGGGCGTCGGCTCGCCGAATCCCGGGAACCCCCCCAGTGACGCAGCCAGCCGTCAGGCGGGGACTTCATCTTGATCACCGCTGACCTCGCGCAGCTGATCCTACAGCTGGCCTTCTCAGGCGTTGGTTTACTAGGTCCCCCAGCTAGGTGCCCTTTCTCACCTATTGTTTTGGTTGGGAGGGTTCCCCTAATTACTAAATAGACCACAGAAAAAACACGGTCTTTTACATTTTGTTTTTTTGGGGGGGAGGAGGGTGCCCCTACTAAAATATACGGCAAAAAGTTGGTACCAACTCATTCTAACCTCCAAAACTGGAGCACCTAGTTTATCGGTTTCGTCGGTTTCGTGGAGGCGAGCATTTTTCGAGCCGGGAGGCTGGACATGTTGGGAACATGGGTTGACAAGATGTGTCGTGCGTGCTTTTGTCTCGAATGTCCATATCATATGTAGGTTTACACATATAATAATTAAGGTATTTGGTGAGCAGTGTTCCGACCCTCCAACAACTTTCTGAGCATACCCAACACACCCCCTCTCATGAAGAATGGTTCAAGGAGGTCCGGGGAAATCATGTTCAAATAATGTTTGGAGGGTTCTCGGAAAAATGCCAAGCCAACCCCTGGATCTGGATCAAGGTGGCCAGGTGGAAGGACGTCAAAGGGCTGGCCAGGATAGGCCAAGCCCTGAATCAGGACTTAGGTTGTGGGTAGCCACATAGCACCCTTGGAGGTTTATCATGAATCGGCCAAGCTTCGCCAAACCCTCCCCCCCAGCGGCTGAGAATTTGGCTCCTTGCTTGGGGCCCTTTGTTGTTTTTAATCAGGCTGGTGAACGTAGTAACAAACATCCAGTCTTATCATCCACGCTGTTTTATGCTGGCATTTGCCGCAGGATTATCTTGGTCAGCAGCTGCCCCCTCTAGCGCTGTCCAAAGAGCAGTCCTGGGGCGCTGCTGGCGTTTCCTCCTTTATTCTCTGGTCATTGTGTTGACTGTTTTTGGGAGCTAAGTCAGAAACTGGTTGGTGGTTACACGAAAAACAAATCTACCACTCAGGCGGTGACGTTGACGAACTGCTGTTGCCAGGTATTTGCCTTCTTTTCCCCTTCCCAGTCGAGCCAACCATCGCAGGTAGCAGTGAGCTGCTGGACAATGCGCCACCAGCTTCAATCTTTCGAATGGCGCCTTGGTTTTTTCAGATTCCCGATGGCTGGTCTTTGGTGTGACCTTAGCCCTTTACTTTGGTGCATTTTGCTTGGATGCTAGGACTTTAACTTTTTGTCAACTATATAATGGGTGCTCCATTAAACCACTAAAAGTGAAGCTTTTAGAAAGGGAGCAGAAAGCAACCGAGTTTAGACCTTTGGGAACCAGTGGTGTTTGATGAAGTCTACAAAAAAAGGTTAGACCTGCACCGGGGGGGGGGGGGCGAAGATGATGTGAATGCAGTATACGCCTGGGGAAACCACAAAGAAACCGCCCATTTAAGGGGTTCCCTTAATGCAAGGATTCCGTATGTTCCCCTTTGAAGTGTGGTTTTTGAGCATCCCTGTTTGGGCCAAGAGGGACTTTCCTTTGGCGGGATGATGTCAAAAGGGGAAATACTGGAAGCCCGGGGTAGCATTCGTTCGCCATGGATGCAAAGCGTGACTCATGTTGCCATTTTGGTTGCCTGTTCGGTTGCCAGTGAGATAGCGAGGCCGCCAAGGACTGAATTCACCCAAGGAAAAGGTTCCAGATTTGTTTGGAGGCTGCAAAGAAGAAGGTGCTAGTCCAAACTGTTGAACTTGCTTTGGGGATTCTGGGACAACAATTTCAAAGGGGGGGAAAAGGGGTTGTTCAAGCAAAGAAGAGGACCAGTCCAAGAGAGGTGGAGTGCAGACCAAGTGTTTTGCGAAGATACTCCGAAACAGGGTTTCTTCTGGTGGGCTTTTGCCAGACAGAATTTTGGGGATTTCAGCTCCTGGTTCTACGGAGCAGGTCCGGGTTTCACCCCGGACCTCCATCCAGTTTGAGGAAAGATGTCGAGAACTGCAGCTGACGTTTCCTTTTCCGAGGTGCGACTGCTCAAGATCGCCCGCGTGCTGCGGCTGGTGAACATGGATGTATCTTTGGCCAAGCCTTGCTAAGCTTTTGATCACCTGTTTAACCGTTTTGACCCGTCTAGCCCGTTTAGCCTTTTTGTGGTGTTCCTTTTTTGCCTTGTCTGTTGTGTGTTATTTGGAGGGTACCCTTTGAAAGGTCGGTTTTAAAGGCAAACCAACAAGGAAATCACATTTTCTTGGAGATCCAGAAAGGATTCCTGATTGTCAGGTGCGCTACCCACCTTCCCTCTCCCGGCACAGACCCTTCCCCAAGACTTAGAATTGGCCTTTGTTGGCCCCAGTTGGCTTTTTTTGGTTTTGGCTTATTAACCCTTTGGGGCGTCTTTGGGAGGGTGGTTTGCGTGGTCAGTTCTTAGTAGACGCTGCCGGGCGGAGGCCTGAAATGGTTGCAAGAGAAGACCCCTCCACGTGTTCGGAAGCGGCGCTCCAAGAATCGCAGCGGTTGCGATACTGTGGATGGACAAAATCCGGCACCACTTTGAAATCATGGGAAACTAGAGTTTGCTGGTATTTACAGGGGAAATCATCATTCAAGGGTTTCTTAGGTGGTGCAGGAATTCGTGCATCCACAGTATGTTCAAAAGCCGTGGCTGTGGGAAATCGATTGGTTTCAGGGCCTTCGACTTGCTGCGAGCCAATGAAGTTCATTCCCTTTGGAGTCTAGAGTGCTTACATAGTCGCAGGGATGGGAATCCCAACTAGGTATCACTGACAATGTTTGACCCCCGCGAATGAAGCCGTGAGCAGCGGACGAAATGACTAAGGTATGGGCTTAGGGTATTCGTCTCTTTTCAGTTTGCTGTGGTAGAATGGCGGTTGGAATTCATGGACGCTGTCAAAATGGTGACCCCCTTGTTGTCGGCAGAGGAGACTGTGGGTTTTCAAAATCATTTTACATTCCAACATGGAACAGAATCTGAAAATATTAAAAATAGGTGTGGCGTACCGCGGGACATGCCGCAGACGCCAAAAGCAAAGAACGGTAGAAATTGGAGGGTCCAGTCACATAGCTCCAGACGTTCTTGGTGTTCTAAGATCGTTTCCAAGACCAACCACCTCAGGGAACCGGGGGATCTATACTCAATTGTAGCCTAGTGGCTATTCAGTGGCGTTTGAAGCGGCCGATTTCCCGCCGGTGGGCTCCGACTGAGTGGCTTGCCAAGCAGCAAGGATCCCTTCCGTCGGTTCCCCCAAATCGATGCCTTGGGGTCTACAGCTTTGCCGAGATGTCGTGAGTTCAAAGCTGGGGCCTCCAAAATGTTTCAGGGACTCACTATGAGCAATCTGCAAATCTGATTGCTTGGTCCGCAGAGCTGGGCCGCGAAAAGACTCGCGAAAAGTGTTCAAGTGCTGGCAAGACAGTTACGCCCAGGTATTCAAAGACCTTCTGCAGCCTCCTGGCCGCTATTGAGCTGTCCGATTCGACTGGTCCTGCTCGGGGGCCTCCAAACCCCGCCTCCTGTTTGCTCAGCGGACAACGTGAGCCAAGAAGCATCTTGAGGCTTCTCAGAGTTTTACTTTTGGCATTCTTGGTTTGTCTTTAAACCAAAGTTTGGGGAATTTCAAGGGTTGAACGCCTTGGGGGTTAGGAGGGTTCGAGAGGGTGCTGTGGATACAACCTGTGCTTGGGAAAGCCAACCGCTTGTGGATTGGAGGTTGGGGGTCCAACTTGGGGCTGGGTTCAACTACCCGAACCGATGCAAGCGGTTTTCGAGAAGGAAGCCAACCGGTTTGGCAGTCCTCGAATTTGGAGACAAACACATATTGCCCCTTACTTGAGGTGGCCTTCTCTATATTTCCCCTTAAAACGGTGGACACGGATTCCTACATTCAGATGGGTGTGTCGTCGGCGAACCTTTCTTGGTTGGTATTAAACGAGGATATCCACAGGAAGCAAACTGGTCTTGGTGGTAAGCGAAGCCTGCGGCTTTAACCTTTGCGAAAGGCCAAAGTTGGTCTCCTTGTGGGGTTGACCTGTCAGGCTTGGACATATATCGGGAGTCCTGCCTCTTCTTCGCAGACCTTTGGCTAATGGCGAGGCTTTTTGGGAAAAGCTAAGGACCAAATTTCCTCTCGGGAGTCGGCGTGGGAGATGCACTCAACTCCTTGAGCTGTGGTCAGATGACTTGCAGACCTTGCTTTGAAACAATTGAACCGCATCCCTGAGAAAGAAAGGTGGCTGAATAGAAAGGAATGGTATTGCTAGAAAAGTAGCTTGAACAAATGCAGAAGCACGTGTACAGCTGTGGATATGTCTTTTTGTGTAGGCAGTGAATAGGGATTCCAGCTTCGAAAAAAACATGCCTCATGTTCTAGGCACAGAAGAGCAGAGGGCTGCCGTCTGGCGTTGAGAGGCGAGTTTGGCTGTGAGGTGGCAGGTCCAGGTTGCAAACCTCAGATTAACATATGTTCCGCTATGTAAGAGAGCCCCACAGAGCCGCAAAGCTGCAACATGTCTATATGTTGATCTGCCCCAAGCCCCCAGGACCTTACACCTAACAATTTGGAAAGACACCGCTATCTGCTGAGGTTCTCTGTGGAGTTGGGGCAAACAAACTGTCAGAAAAAGACCCTTGGGTTTGGTGCCATGAGACCTCTGAGCTTTCCGAGGATGATGCAAGGCAGCTTGGCTGGAGACTGCTCGGCTTTTCCGATCCCCGGCAGCGCGGAGAGGTTCATGTAGCCGCGAAGAACTTGGACCCCTGCATGGTCACCGGGTAATTATGTCAAAGGTGTGGCCGGGTACATGGGAATCAATTTTAGGCATAGGGCAAAGGAATCAATTTATATGTTGCATCCCATCCTTATAGCGCCTGAGCGCGAAATATGTCGAAGCAAGCGGCCTCCGGTCTCTTCGGGCAGGATCCTCCCAAAGCGGCGAGCGTTTCCATGGAAACCAGCGGTACATTGATGAACTTTGGGGGAAATCCAGTGACTCCTAGAAAGCGCGAAGAGGATGTTTCACCTCTTGTGGTCGCGTTGCAGGTGTGTGTTTTGTCCCATCATTCATAAGGCTCGACTGGTGCAGGATTTTGTCTATCTACAGTATTACCTTGGCTTGGGGCAAAAGCTGAGGTAGGATTGTGATCGGGTTTCGGCTGCTTTCGGGTTTCCGGCCCTTGGAAATACGAATGGTTGTCAACCTGGAGGCAGTTGCGTGTTGGCCAAATTTTGCCTCACTGAAAAGCAAGATGTGGACTGGCGTTGAATGCAAAGTTGCAGATTATTCGATGGCCCATGAAACCACGGGTCCATAAACAGGTCACTCCGTGCAACAGTGGCATGTCTGTCGAGCTTGTCCCTCTTTATGAATTCCTGGTAAACTGCTAACCACGTCGTTCCAGACTTCGAGAGACAACAGGTTGTGTTCGCTTCGGCTCGTTTCAAAGGCGACCTACAATGTGGAGGTCTTCCCAACTTCGAGACACTGCCAGATGTCCCAACTTGGCTAAGTGGTGAGGTTTGCTTGTTATGCCGCACTTACTGTACGGGACTTACAAACGCAGCAAGTTGGTTGACAAGTTGTAGCGCTGGCTACCAGCCACTTGGCGAAGTCGCGGCTGGACATGCCGCAGCAAGGCATGATGGGCGGCATGTCGACATTGCTCTGGGCCATGATCTTCTTTCTGCTCATCGTGTGGCTCTGGCTGCAAGGGGAGAAACTCTGTCAAGGCGAAAGGGGTCAAATATCAGCTTCCCGTTCCCCTTTAACTGGTTTGGATTGCTGGTTAGGAGGTTGAGGGCCTACTTTGCCATTCAATCACAAAGGTGGTTGAATTCCGCAAACCACCAATCCAAATCACCAACTAAGGGCTCCCTGAAATTTTCATGGGGGTGGTGAAAAAGACAGGTCTTGTTTAAGTTCAAGCCAAGCTTGGAAGCAGCGTTGGGGTCTAATGTATCCGAGGAAAGAACCAAGAGGGACATGACATGGGGTGCGTGTGCGTTTTTTTTTGTTGTTGTTGAGGGTACCTTCTTCAGGTTGGTCCAAAGGCAACCCCCAAGGAGCACGACAATTGTGTGGGTCCAAGACCCGATTTTGACGCGTACCCATATGGACAAACTCCTGAAGTTGGGATGGATGAAATTCTATGGGAATCGCTGCCTGCCAAAGTTGTTTTGTTTCTCCACTTCCGTTGGGCAAACGTAGATGGCGCCAATTCCCTTAGTTTGGTTCAGACATCCCCCCTTTTCTTGCTCACCGAAAGTAGTGCCATCTATTTGCATGGTGGCAAGGACATCGCTTGACTCTCGTTTCGTTTTTAGTTTTTCCGGAGCCGAGGTATGTCACAGCGCTGCTGTTCCGGGAGTTGCTGGGTAGGAGAGACGTGTGGGGGCACCCAGGAGAAAAAAAAAACAAAACAGGACCGAGGACCGGCCATGTGGCAACACTTGCCATTGATCCAACCTGAAAAGAGCAAACTCAAAACCATCCACAGGGTTGGCATGGATGAAATCCTATGAACGCCAGAATAAACCACCCCGCCAGTTGTCGTGTCATTGTGTCCATCCACACGTGTAAATGATAGAACCAAACTGAAACCAGTGAGCCCCATCTATTTCCCACCCCACTGACCCAACAGGGACACCTATGATCAATATATGCTCTTTCCCCAACAGGCGTGGGGAAGTTGGTGAGTCCCTGCCCTTTGCTGGGACCCAAACTTATTTTGACACAGACTCAGCTGGCGCATGGCTTGGATTTATCAACCTGCCTGTTTTTTTGACCTCGATTCGGGAGTTACGCGAGCGTCTCCCACGATGTGGAAGTTTACTTTGGTACTCTTCCTTCAGGTGTTGAGTTTTGTAAAGCATGCAGAGGAAGCAATGTGCAGGGAACCGAGGGAAGGGAGAGCTTGGTCCATCAGAATGATTTGGCTTATTTTCGTGGACCCTTTGGTGAACATCAAAATTTGGTGGGGATTCATGCCCACCGGCCATCGAAGTCTCTTTTCACACCCCAATTTTTCAGGGGACCCAAACACGCCCGGCACGGTCCAAACGAGGCCAAACACCCTTCGGGAAAGACCAACATAGACAAGTTTTGGAGGCGTGTTTGTGGGGGAGGAAGGCAACCGCCTGCTGGGAAAGACTACAATAGGTGCGTGGGGTGGGGGGTGGGGCGTTCGGTCGATCCATTCGAAGGCCCAACGTCAAGGAGTGGTTCGACTCGGTGCCCCGCGCCATGCCTGGACCTCGATGCAAAAAAAATCCGGCCCTGCGAAGTTCTTTGCGTCTCTCCCAGTTCCGGTAAATTATTTTTTGGAAAAGGGACCCCTTTTGGGTGGGTTCAACGGGAAACTAAGGGAAACACACCATTTAGCAATAATCGAGGTCTCAGAAGACTTGCTGGTGCAATAGGTGGAGAATGACCCTTCCGGGGTGTTGGGAATGGACCGGCACAGGATTCCCTTTGAGGACGCCATAGGGGATGGTTTGTAGGGGTCCTTCCCTCATTCCCTGTAATTGAGGGCTCAAAACAAGACCTGGGTCTGTCTTTTTTGAGTTGGGTGGGTTGACAAGGAAACTGAAGGAAAGCCAAAATTCATTTGGGGGGGCGCGTCCCTATGGATCTGTTTGGTTTGGATTGGCTTTGTTTGATTTTCAGGGCCCGGTGTTGGGCCCATTCTGAACACCTATAAGGATGTGAAATGTTGGTTCGCCTTCACAAAGTAATTTGGCTTGCGACTGAACCCCAAAAGACTCTTTTCTTGGGTGGTTCCTGTCAGTCCCAACTAACGGATTTTTTTGGGGGGATTCCTCACAGAGAAGCTGCCAGATTTTGTTTGTGAGGAAAGTTAAGAGGCCTGGTGTTTGAGTTCTACCGCAAGCTTCAGAGTGTTTGCTCCTGTTCATGTCGGAAGGGGCAAATAACACTCTATGCTGACGTACTGATTCGGTTGGGAAGCTTGGAACATGACAGTGTCCTTGAATGAGGAGCTCTGCACGAGAGGGGTGTGTTCAACAGCCGGTGAAACAAATGGCGATCCAACGTCTAAAGTCAAAAGGGCCATTGAAGGAGGACCCCCGGTATGGCCGACGCGGTTTCCTTTTGGTTTCCCGAACCCAAAACGGGGTACTCCTAATTTCAACCAGAACGGTTCCCTAAGAAGATCCCAAGGGTTTCCCGTAGCCACGGGATTTTTGCGACAAATCCCACCTTTCTCTGAAGGTGATCCTTTTCCCGGTCATTCCCACACTGACCTCTCCCCCCCCAAAACCCAACCTTGTGGCTATATTGACTAAGCTTAGTAAAACCCAGTTTTGGTATGTCTTGCAAGATTGTGATTCATCGATTTCCCCGTAGGTGAGGAGTCTTTGGATCCTTCCTGTGGTTTCCCTGCCAATGAGCAGACCATCTCTGATCCTCCAAGAAGAGTACCCAAAGTGGAACGCCGGAAGATGGAACAAAAAAATAACACCTGCGGTCCAATCCCTGGTAGTTTCCTTTTGATACCCATATCTTACCAAGTATGTTATATCAAGGTGTCTGAGAAAGCCCCAAATGACCATGGGTAACGCTTTCCAATTTACTGGGACGCATCGCCTCTTTTGCTTGTGGTGTCCCCCAATGGCAATCCCATGTATCACGAACCTTTTGATCAACCCCCAAGGCCTCTGAAAACGCTCCCGCGGTTTGGATTCCACAGTCCCGAGGTATTCCACCTTCAGATGCAGCGTCGGGGACTGCAAGGAGCCCAGTTCGCTTGTGGCTGTTCCGTTTTTTCGATCCACGGACTTGGATCGGCCAAGTTAGTTCGTTGGCCTGTAATCCAAGGGAAAAGGGTATGTGTATGTGCTACGTGTATGTGTGTGTGTGTGTGCGCGTATAGTTGTGTATGTCAAATCCTGGAGTGGGGTTTCTATGTTCGGAGGAAGAGCTAGGTTAGTCCTGAGGGTCACTTCCCCATTCCGGGATCTGAGTTCTTTTGGGGGAACGCTTTGCAAATGCTTGAATGGGGGATCACACCGACGGACCTGTCTCGTTCCTCGGATTTCCTGTACCATCTGTCACAGACCTGCTTCTCAACAATGGCATTCGAAGGGGGGTGGCAGAAACGTGGCTGCTCTTTCATGGGCTGGGGGGGAGGGAGCCCAAATAAGCCCTTATAAAGCCCTTAGTGGGCTCCCACTCCCCCTCCTCCCTCCCAGCCCCCATGACTGTTCATTCTTGACGCCCTACGCAAAGGTGGCTAATGTCTTTTTGAACATCTTAGGGTCGTTGGCGTTCTTTTGGTTTCGCCTCAAAGAGGCGGTTTAGCTTAGTCACAGGGAATTCTCACCCGGGCGCTTCATGAGACACCACTTTCTCTTTCCTAAGGCCGGCCTTGGTAACGGGGTATAGAGTAGGTTGAGAGTTGGGATCCTAAGAGTCAGGCCAGACGCTGAGGTTCTACACTCTCCGGCCAGCCGATCTTCGAGTTTGTGCAAAAGGAGCTGTGCTCGAAGTCCTACATGGACATGGGTCAAAATCCCGCACCCCCAGTGAACATCCCAATCCCCACTACAATAGACTAAAATGGGTGGTGCACCTACCCCAAAATGGTGCCATTGGTTTTGACCCACACTAAACGGCACGAGTCATCCCAGCCCGTACCCCGAATGCCCTGAATGCATATGTTCCCTACGCCAAGTGCTAGCATAGCACGCTGGGACGAAGACGTGGGGGCAGACGGGCCTTGGCAATCACGGGACACTTTTTTCGGCATGTTTTGGCGAGTCTTTTCCGAATTCATTTCAGTTCGAACCTTCCAGGGTCGAGGGTCAAAGAAGGAACCCTACCCCCAAGGTTCCAAGAACCCTGAAATTGGGAAGTTCGAGCTAGGTTTTCGGCTCCCTAGGGAATCCTTTGATTGAGCGAAAGTAAACACAGCTCTAGGGGTTGATTCCCCCATGGCTCAGAGTTACTTATGCTTACCTTCACTGGGGTAGAGCTTGACCGGAAATATGAGCCACATGTATGCCGGATTGACGGATGATTTCAGGCGTGTGTTTCTCCTCGGGGAATTTCTTTGGGGAACAATGCTGGCCTGTGAGTTCTGAAAGCTGCTGGGGGACATGTGTTTGCGATTTGGATAGCGCATATAGACTTTGGGGCAAGTTGGAGCCCGCTTTTGGGCTCCAAAACGGGACTTGACAAGTCTTGGGGCTTGCAAGGTGCTTGTAGGACACCAAGCGAAGGATCCTGGAAGTGACAAAGTCCTAAACGATGGCCCGCTTTTGATATCACAAGAGTTATTTCCCAGATGCCCAAGGCGAACCCCGAAGCACTTGCTACAGGACCCCCAGAGTGGTGGAACGTCCCATTTCTGCTTGATGAATCACAAGGAAACAAAAAAGAGCTGCCATTTTAGGGGAGCGAATGCCTATTTTGAGACGCCCCAGCGGTTTCGTTGCTGTGGCCCCCCAAGGACCAAGCCCAAACACTGAGGTTTTGGCCGAATGTTTTGGCCACAAGTGGCTTGCATGCGGCCCCTAACCCTTGGGCCAAATTTGCCAATCTTGGACCACAGGGATTGAACCCCCCGCTGAAGGATTTGCAGGAATGCCGTGGAAGAATCCACATACTTGGCGGTTCCAGGCCATACGGTTTGACTCCTTGCGTTTAGAGGGAAGTATGACATATCACGCGAAAAGTTGAAGTTTCAGCAAGCGATCTGCCGTGCGACAGAAAAAGATGCCCACCAATGGGTCTAACACTCGTAGCCCAATATCCTTTCTTTCTATCGCGAGGGCTGAAAACCCTATGAAAATTCAAGGGAAAGAATTCGGGTGCTCCAGAATTCATGAGACACCTTTGTCGCCCCAGCCAGGGGATAAACTGCAAAACACGACGTTTGGGGACCATTTTCTGTGCCAGACAGTCAACCCCCTCACAGTAGCGAAGGAGCGATGGGGACGGTTGATTTTGCTCAACCCCGAAAGGGTAAGTTGTCCACAACCATGAATCTGCAGGAGATGGGAACTGTCTACAGCGCCTCGGCAACAATCTTCGCGTGTTTGCCTTGATGTTGTCTCGAACTCTGGATCTTTTTGTCAACATTTTGTTTTTTGCTTTTTTGGGGTCCCTTTGTTTTCCACTAACCAGGCAAAAACGATTTTGTTTTTGCTAGGGTCATAATTCCAGTCTAGCAAAGTACATGGCACAATTCATCCAGGTGAAGTACAAACTCCTTTCGTGCCGAAGCTTGTGACCTCGAAAATGTGTGTGTTTCCCTTTGGTTGGAAAGAAAAGACTTAGTGTCCTAAAGGCCTAAGATAGGTTGAAGCCATTTGGGTGACTCGTTGAATGGGTTTGAACAAATGGATTCCTTTCGGATGCTACATGCTTGTCCTTTTCAAGCGATCGATTAGGGGTCCCGTTTGTCGCCCCTGGACTTTTTGGATTAGAACAAAGGACAGCAACTTGGAAGCGAGAATGCTCAGATGCATCCTTCGGCCCCTTGCCACGCGAAGTTTCAAGCAGTCGTTTTGTTTGTTCGCCTGCCGTGGTCCTAGAGCGGGATTCATTTTGAGGCCAAGGTGTTTCCCTTCACAGTGATGACTCCAGAAAGATCTCATTCCTCTAAGTTAAGGGCTGAACATAGACTAAGTTCTTTGTTTGCTTTCTTTTTGAAGAGGGCTTCCCTTTTCAGCCAGCCACAAGTAAGCATAAAACCACAGGACTGTTCAGGTTTGTTCCTGATGTGGCCTGTGTTTGGGGAAACTCATGTGAAATGCAACAACAAGATGTTGTTTAAACAACACTGGTTCAAGCTTTCCAGTGGATCATTTTCCTCTAGTTGTTTTTTTTAAGGGAGGCTCCCCTGGGTTACCTGCAAAACTAGGGAAATGGAATCAGTGGCGCAAGCCATTTCTTTGGTCAGAGGTAGGCCCGGGCCTGAGACTGTGTCTCAGGCCTGATCTACTGCCTCTTCGTCTTCGCGGTGACCATCGGGCTGTTCAATGCCGCTCGGAGAGGATGTCGTCAGAACTGTCCTCATGCCCTAAGACTTGATTCTCAAGCCCGCTCCGGAGGGTCAAGGTTTGGTACCCGAAGTCATCTTTGCCCTAGATGAACCCCTCCAATCTCAAAGGCCAAGAGGAACGAGCCCATATTGTCGTTCAGCTGGCCTCGACCAAGCGATGGCGATGGCCGTCCTGTTCAGCTTGATCCGAGGCTCGCCAAACACCAGCCACAGCTCACTACCTTTTGTCGTCCGAAGAATGTGTGTGTGTGTGTGTTTGTTTTGTGGGTACCTCCTTTTGGGGTTGGGAAAGGGGAACCACCCAAATGGCGGTTCCCCCTATTTTTGACACATGCAGATGTTCATTCAGTTTCCATTTCAATGTGGGGGATGTGTAAACGCGACGTCAACATAAGTTAGCCTGTCAAGACTCTTTTGGACGTCTCAGGTGGCTTTGTGTCACAACCCGAGAGTCCTTCTGGGACGGTTGTAAAAAGCAAGGCGCAGGTTGCTCAAAGGATTGACGTCGGCCAAATTGAATTCTGCGTTTGCCAGCGGTTGTTTGAGTCAGGTGCTTTGGCGAAGAGCTCTAAGCCAACCATTCAATTCAAGGGACCCTTTTACAAATCAGCACCCCCCGCCCCCCGAAAACTAAGGGTTGGGGGGTAGCCGGACTAGAGCAAGACCAGGCCAAACAGTGCCAAGCAAAAAGGGGGCTTTAAAATGGGTTTCAAAAACGTGACCAACCCTCTTTTGGGTAGACAAGTGGTCAATGGGTTCCTTTGCTTTCTTGCCCACTTACTCAAAAGTGCAGATCGACGTCGGGTGGAAGCAACCTGCAAGCTGGATATAAATCTGCGCAGGTGGGTTTTTGTTTAACGCAGATCCATTTCCAGCAGAAGGCTATGATAAGCCATTTAAGATGGATCTTTGAAAATCCGGTAGGATGGCTGCCAGTTTCTCAAACAATGCGTGGTATTGTGTTTAATTGTTCGCCTCGAGGACAGCTAGTAGAAGGGTTCATTTGGACGATGTTAGGGTTGTTATTTTGGATCTTTGAAACTTTCCTTCACCCAGAACTTCAGTTGGTAATATTGCTTCTACTCGACTTGGGGGACTTACAACCATAGTGGGTTGTAACCATGGTTGCTAGCTACTTGGCTCAGTCCCTGACCACCCAGGTAAACGGCAAGAACCACCGATTGAAGTGAAAGGCCTACAATCATGGCAACTGGGAGCCGCAGGGCGGTATGTGCTTTTCTTGGCTGGGCATAAATCTGGTTCAGCTGGTTGCTTTCCAAATAGTGGTTGTACATTAACATTTCTTTGATTATGTGCCCAACCCGAACTCCAACCGACTGTAAACCCATCCTGAACCCTCCTCAAGCATCTCAATCCCATCCGAACGACCCGGCAACGATAGACCAGGTTGAAACCCGAAAGCAACAATAAACTGAATAAACCAACCTTAGCCCTAAATCCATGTTCAATATCAGCCTGAACCAAACTTCTAAACCTGGCCCAACACCAACCCTCAACCCAGCTGGAAGTTACCCCACATCCATTCCAAACCGCCCTAGACCAGGCCAGAGGAATCTCAAACCTAGCCGACAGCAAACACAACGAGCGCATCAACGCAGCAGAATTCTACCTCCGACCATGCGCTTTGTCACAAGAAGCAACAGCGCACCGCACAACGTGCATAAACCCCATACATTTCAATTTGGACGACCACTATGAAAACATGTTTCGAGGGCCTTACACGCGTGGCTTGCTAGGCTCTGTGCAAGGCCAACCGCAAAGCTCACTCGGATACCACAATTCCTATATAGTCTGAGAAAGGTGAGGCACCCAAACGCAGGCAACGAAACGCACCATGTGCTCCGCAAGCAAAGTCATTCTTATTTGATCCACCTCAGGTAGGTGGTGCCAAGTTTGAAAGTATTACGCCATACAATCGCAAAGCTAGCTAGCTAGTTGTGATGTGGGCGCGAATTTGCATCTTCTCCGGACAAAATCCCAGCCGGTTTGCGCCCTTCGGCGCAGGGCCAGCCAACATCTCTTCGACCCAATAGCAGGGAACCAAATGCGGGACGCTAGCCGTTTTCACAGGAGCTTCAAGCGCATAGGCCCAAAGGTTCATTTTGGTTCAAGATAGATTCCTGTGCGTTCAGCGTGTCAGTGCCACTCCTCTGCCGGCTCTTGCCGCAAGAAGCATGGAACTGCCTTCCGACGCAATGTTGTTCTATGCCTTTGTTTGGCATATGGGGGGGGCTTAAGAGGGGTTGCATGTTAGTTTGGAGATTGTTTTGCAAATGGGTTTTCTACTGCGAGTTCTTTCTCGGTGAAGCGAGCGATCGAACGACCTGAGGTCATCTCGGCCATCTTTGTAGAGACGACAATGGCGCCCCGGCTCTCACTATTTCGGGACGTGGGTGAAACTAGTTAAGCAGGGAGGCCCATGTTTTGTCCAACTCACTCCCCAAGTTCCTGGACTTGAGTCACTTTTTGGGACGAACCATATTAGAGGTAAACGTAAAAATTGTGAAAACGATTGGCAACAAACTGGATGGACCCAAGAAACTGGAAAAAATGGTAACCAAACAGTTCGGGCCCATTTTTTGGCCCATCTACTCAGCTTCTGTGACCCAAGGGAGTCTTTTCCTGAGCTCTCGGTACCCCAAATCTGGGCCAAGGAGTGGATTGAGGGTGTGGCGAGCTTACGTAAAGGCAAGTCAAGCCTGATAGAGAAGGAGTGCCGGTTCTTCACCAAAGCCCGGCGTTTTCAAAAACGCCCGCGGGTTTTTTCTCCCCAAACTTCGACAGGCGGCGGCGCAGAAGATGGCGCAGGAGAAGAAGATCGCCAAGCACGGGGACGAGAAGCTGCTGGCCGCCAGGCGAGGGCAAACGAATCACACTCGGCTTCCAGTCGACAACTCGGTTTTCCAGCCAGGTGCCCTTTCTCACCCAACGGTTTTTTGGTTGGGAGGGTTCGCCTACTAGAATAGACTACAGAAGAAAAGGGTTTTTGTTTACCAACTTTTTTTGGGGGAGGGTTCGCCTACTAAAATAGACTACAGAAGAAAAGGGTTTTTGTTTACCAACTTTTTTGGGGGGAGGGTTCGCCTACTAAATGTAGACTACAGGAAAAAAGGTGTCTTTTACCAACTTTTTTGGCTGGGAGGGTTCCCCTACTAAAGTAGACTACAGAAGAAAGTTGGTAGCCTTATTCTAACCTCGATACTGGAGGACCTAGACAAGGTCCCCCAGCGCCAAAAACAAGCAATCCCCGAAAGGGAAAATTTATTTAACGAGGTGTGGTTTTTGCTTGATGACATATTGGGACTGTAGGCCTACTTTAAACCTTTGCTCAAAAATGGCTTTGAGTGAATATAGGGGGACTTCAAAATGGTCACCTGGAGAGGGTATCGTGACCTTTAGAAGTCTTTTTTCGCGACCAGATGAGGGGCAGAGAGTTGGGGTAGGGTGGGACGTCTCGAATGCCGGTTTCAGGCTACGTAAGGTTCAGTTCTTGACGTTGCTTAGCGACCTCACAATTTGGGCGACTCTGCCCGAAAACCCATGAACATTTTTCTGGGGCGCCCTCTAAGCGAAAAACCTTTAATTTTAAAGGGTCAAATGGGAAAACCTGGTTTTTTGGCAAGTTTTGGAAAAATAAAGGTTTTCCAGGGAAAAACCTGGTATTTCACTTACATCCTTTATTTTGGCACTTTTCGCAAGCGAAATGTCGGATGTTTGAAGAACAGAGCAAAGGTGCCGGATCTCGCGCAGGTGTTGAAAGGAGCCGCCAGGTTTCTTTCACTGCCAAATTGTTTCTTGGGTTTCTAGATGTTTTTTGGGAATCTCTTGTGGTTTCCTTTGTACCGCCAAGTGCGCGATAGCCCCCTGCTCCTCAAGATTGGAGCTCAAAAGGCAGGGGTAGACGCGAGGGCGTGGTCAACCAAAACTCAACAATGCAGCGGGACAACCAACTTGAATGTACAAGTGTGCAGCTCACTACATGACCATCAGTAGCTCTGCGTGATTGACACATCATGTTCATCTTGGTACTTTTTTTTGTATTTTTAAAACATCAGGCAGTATCCCA